TGATGTGCCTCGGCGCTGGTCTCTCTGGCCTGCATAGGAGCGAGGTGGAGGAGGGGCCCGCCCCGCTGCTTCGACGCCCTCGTTGCGTATGAATTTCTTATAAAACTTTTTTTAATGCCTAAGGAAAATTTCAACATTTTCTTTCTCTTAAAAAGTGCTGTTTTATGAAGTTTCGAGGGGGAAATCACTCGCGTAATAGTCGGGTCACCGATTCCTAGTATTACGCGTAATAGTAATAGCGTAATAGCCAAATTTTTTAAAAAAATCCCTATTTAGGGTCCGATTTTAGCCTAAATCTGGATATTTTCGAGCGTAATAAGCCTTCTGTAATATCGTAATAGAACGTAATAGGGAGTAGTCGGGTCGCAGTTTTTAAGAGTGATTTCCCCCTCGTGAAGTTTAATACATTGGCGAAACCGTATCAAAACAACAAGCGAACGGTGGGTCGAAACCCTAGACTTTGCTTAAGGCTGCGACTAGGCGAAATTTCGTCAAGTCGTACCCAGCAGCTTGACCAGCCGACAGGCATAGGCGATTGCTGCCTAGGGCGTATCCCTATTCCCAACCTTCGGGCTTCGAGACTTCGATCTCCACCTCCCAGCGCTGCCTGAGGCCCCTCCGCAGCCGCCCTGCCCAGGCCCTGCCCCGCTACTCCGCCTGACCGCACCCCGCTGCCCCCGGCCGGCGTAAGGTTGCCGCATACAATGCCACCCCGAGGAGCCCCGAGGGCCAGGAGCCGAGACGCCGCTGAGCCCCGGGCAAGCACGCCGTGGGAGGACGCCCAAGGAGGGCTGGGGTCGCTCCGTCTCGCTCGCACCCTTTCCGGACCGCCTCAGTAGCGCGACAGAGACAGCGAGGACTCTTTTGAATCTGCACTGCGCACAACGAGGAGCCCTGCGCCATCCTCGCGGTGGAGGTAACCAGTACTCTCATTTCCGAACGATGCTTCCCTCACTCCGTCTCTCTCGCACCCCCACGGACGGCGACACGAGTGCGAGAGAGAGGGCGACGCTGGCGGGGAGGGTGGTGGGAATGAGGCAGCGCCACGCCGCCGCACGCGTCGCGAAGGGAGACAGTGAGCCGGGCTAATCCGCCACCGCACGGCGTCCTCCACGGCCTCCTCGGCGACGCGCGGAGTGCCGCATAACTTGGAGCGCGGCGGCTGTCCGCCCGGGCCCTGCAGGCTGATGCCGATCTCTGATTTCGTCGCTCTGTCCCTCTTGCACTCACGGGGCGTCCCGTAAGGGTGCGAGAGAGACAGAGCGAGAAGCAGTGCTTGGAACCAGTCTGCTGGCCAGGGCCAGCCAGCCAACGAACGCCCCACAGTGGGCCAGCACACCGGTGAAGGTGGCCCAAGCCAAAACTCTAGACGTGTTTTGAGCTCCAGAGTAGCTAAACGGGACCACAAGCAAACGAGGAACACCACCAATGGATTCCTCGTTCGGAGAGCAATCTATTGGTGGAGTCACGTTCGGTTCAAGTCCCATTTAGCGACTCTGGAGCTCAAAACGCGTCTAGAGTTTTGTCCGCCTCCACCGGTATTTCGGTCCACTGTGCTACGGTCACCAACTCGCCGCACCGACCGTCACTTCATTTTCATAAGTGTATACTTTGGAAATTAGCGGCAACTTTTGCGTCTTGGCGTGACGCCGCCAGACTTGGGCCGCTATCTCCACCGCGCCAGGGAAAGCCCCTTCGCACACACCGCCACAAGGCCGGCGGCGCGAGGCGCCCCTTCGCCGCGCTCCGCTCCACCGCGCTCGGCCCGGCCGCGTAGCCGCGCAGCTCGGCCGGTGTGTTTTTAATTCAAGTTACAACTTGGCGCGGCACTCGGCGACCAGGACGGCGGGGAGCGCGATGAGCACTCAGTCCACCGTGCCGCCTGCTGCAATCTGATTCCGAGTCGTCTCTCTCTCTCTCTCTCTCTCTCTCTCTCTCTCTCTCTCTCTCTCTCTCTCTCTCTCTCTCTCTCTCTCTCTCTCTCTCTCTCTCTCTCTCTCTCGCACGCCTGCGGCGCGCCTCGCGAGTGCGAGAGAGACGGAGCGACGCAAGCGCGCCGCCGTGCTGCCGCCGGTAGGTTGATTCGCTTCAGAGACGGTTCTCCGTCATTTCCTGCCGGAGCGTGATATGACTGCGCGCCCATTTCCCATTTCCCAGCCTCATATTGCAAGACCGGACCGGCGAGGGGGAGAGAGAGGAGAGAGAAGAGAGAGAGATGAGAGAGAGAGAGAGAGAGAGAGAGAGAGAGAGAAGGGGGAGTGAGAGAGAAGGGGGAGAGAGAGGGGAGAGAGAGAGGGGGAGAGAGAGAGAGAGGGAGGGAGCGAGGGAGGGAGCTGGGGAGGGAGGGAGAGAGGGAAGGAGAGAGGGAAGGAGAGAGGGAGGGAGGGAGGGAGGGAGGGAGGGAGGGAGGGAGAGAGATGGAGAGGGGGTTAGCTTAGTATACAAGGAAGAGCGGCTCGAGGGACGCGGGCTGCCAGGGGACGCGTGCGCGCTGCCGGCGCTGCCTTCCCGGCTTGGCGGCTTGGCTGGACACTCGGGGCGGCGTTTACGAGGGCCGTAAACATCCCGAGGACGCCGCCGCGGCGTGGCGCGAGACGACGGCGACTGAGACGAGGAGCAACGCGGTGTCGTCCCTTTGTCGGCGAGGAGGCCGCCGCCGCTGCTTCCGAGCCGCGCCGCCACCGCTTGTTCATTACGCCGCTGTCATCCCCAGCAGACTGATTCCGAGAGTCGTTTTCGCCGCTCTGTCTCTCTCGCACTGACCCGTACAGGTGCGAGAGAGACAGAGCGACATAAGCGCAAAGCGGGCCAGAAGACCGGTGGAGGCGGCCAAAACTCTGGACGCGTTTTGATCTCCAGAGTCGCTAAATGGGCCTTAAATCGAACGTGTGACCCCACGAATGGATTTCTCTCCGAAAGAGGAATCCATTGGTGGGGTCACACGTTCGATTCAAGTCCCTTGTATCGACTCTGGAGCTCAAAACGCGTCTAGAGTTTTAGCCGCCTCCAACGGTCTTCTGGCCCACTGTGAAACGACTCTCGGTCTGCGGCCCGGCGGACGGCAGACTCACCAGGTGGTTGTTGGGCCCCGCGGTGGGCGTGGGCGGCGAGTGGCTGGCCGACTTGTTGTTGGCCCAGTCGTCCGTGGTGGTCATGGTGCGCACGGCTGACGAGATGGACCGCCTGCCGGGGCAGGGCAGCGCCAGGTCGCCGCCCAGGCCGCCGCGCCCGCCCTCCAGGCAGCCCAGGCCGTCCGTGCCGGTGTGGTGGTGGTAGCACGTGCCGCCGCACGCGTGTCCGCACGCCGCCGCGGCCGACGGGTCGAAGCACGGCAGCACCTGCAACACGCCGGCAGACGGCGACGAAGAAAAACATTATTCCTTGGAAGGAGAGATAGCGAGCGCTCGCCGCCAAAGTTTAGGCGCGTGGATCACGCACCGACGCTCCACTGGAACAAAAGCAAGCAGTGATGCGCAGATACCTTCCCCTCCCCCTCCCCTTCCCATCTCCCCCTTCCCTCATCGGGACCCTCGAAAATGAACCAGCAGCAAGTTGTCGAGATTATTCAGGACCACTCGATTGGGGAGCTTGTCTGTCGCTAACTCGGCCGTGCAGCCGAGCGATTGCGCTCTGTCTCTCTCGCACCCCTACGGCACACTCCACGAGTGCGAGAGAGACAGAGCGAGGGGCCCTCGCCAGGCCGCGCGGGCTGCAGTATTCATTTATGCAGGTGCCGCCTGCCGTCATATTCCGGAGGGCGATGAGCGGCCGTCGGGGCGAGACGAAGACGGAGACACCGCCAACACAGCGCGACGCCAGCAGACTGATTCCGAGAGTCGTTTTCGTCGCTCTGTTTCCGTCGCACCTACACGGGACGGTAGTGCGAGAGAGACAGAGCGACGAAGACGACTCTCGGAATCGGTCTACAGGATATTGAATGGCACTTGGATTATGCATGCCGTGCCGGCCGATATTCGCGGCGGCGCTGAACAAATATTTTTTTGGGTGGCCGCCGCCTGCCGCCTGCCGCCCCCTGCTGGTGGTGCTCGAGGTGCGAATTCACACGATGGCGAACCGGAGACGGAGACGGGGCGTGGGGGCCGCCCCTACACTCTACCAAAAATGTCCTGTCAACGCCGTTAATTTATTACCAGTTTTCACTGTAGGTTAATTTACAGCGTTTACTGTGATCTGCTCACGCGATTCCACTGTGATCTTGTTCACGGTGTTCACTGTGATCTGGTTCACAGTAAACACTGTGAGTTTGACGCCGCTGAGCACCGAAGTGCTGCAAATCAGGCTCCAATTCACGGCGTTTACTGTGGCCAGATCACAGTGAACACTGTTACTAAGATCACAGTGAACGCTGTGAACTAGTTCACAGCAAACGCCGTGAATTGCATAACAACAAACATTGGTAATAAATTAACGGCGTTGACAGGACATTTTTTGTAGAGTGTAGCCCGCCCTGGCCGCCCCTGGCCCTGGCCGCGTGCTGATCCGACGCGTGGTTCGGGGAAGCTGGTGAAGGAGGCGAAGCCTTAAGCCATCTCGTCTTACTCTGGCCTGGCTGGCCCCGGCCGGACTATACAGGAGCAGAGCCTGCTTCCCCTGCTGCTTCACCTACGCCGCTGCCGCTGCTTTCGCCTACGCTGCTGCTGCTTTCGCGGACGCTGCTGCTGCTTTCGCGTACGCTGCAGCTGCTTTCGCCAACGCTGCTGCTGCTTTCGCGTACGCTGCAAAATAGTGTGCTCATTTTGCGCATGAAACATTAGAGAATCAGAAAATTCCAAAACCAGTCCGCGATCTCATTCCTCAATTGAAAATCGCGTTTCTAATGGGAGGGGGAGAAGCGGCCAAAAGCATGGCGGTCTTTGTTCAACGGATGCAAAGCATGGCGGTCTTTGTTCAAACGACGCAAAGCATAGCGGTCTTTGTTCATAGGACCCATCGGTTTCCTGAGTGCCCCAGCCTGAGTGTCGTTCAGAAGTCCGCACCATTCAGGAATTTCCTGAGTGACACTCAGATTTCTGAATGGCATTCAGAGTTTAAAGAACCACTCAGAAATTTTCTGAGTGGCATTCAGTTCAAAAAAACCGTCAGAATTTTCTGAATGCCATTCAGAACTCAAAAAACCCACTCAGAATTTTCTGAATGCCATTCAGAATTCAGAAAATCACTCAGGAAATCCTGACTGATTTTACACCAGTGCTCTGGAGCTCAAAACGCGTCTAGAGTTGATCCACGAAGCGGAAGAAGGGGTTAAGTCGAGTTGAATCCGTGCATTTTTGAAAGGCCTGAACCTTGCAGGGGGAGAACAGGGGGAATTCATCTAAATATAGATGCAAGAGGAGGGGACTTGTCTCACCACACTTCATTTTGGACCAAATTTTCGCTCACGTTTACTTGATAGACTGATAAGAGGTCACTGAATCAACTCGACTTAACCCCTTCTTCCGCTTCGCGGATCAGTTTTGGCCGCCTCCAACGGTCTTCTGGCCCACTGTGAAACGACTCTCAGTCTGCGGCCCGGCGGCCGTCAGACTCACCAGGTGGTTGTTGGGCCCCGCGGTGGGCGTGGGCGGCGAGTGGCTGGCCGACTTGTTGTTGGCCCAGTCGTCCGTGGTGGTCATGGTGCGCACGGCCGACGAGATGGACCGCCTGCCGGGGCAGGGCAGCGCCAGGTCGCCGCCCTGGCCGCCGCGCCCGCCCTCCAGGCAGCCCAGGCCGTCCGTGCCGGTGTGGTGGTGGTAGCACGTGCCGCCGCACGCGTGTCCGCACGCCGCCGCGGCCGACGGGTCGAAGCACGGCAGCACCTGCAACACGCCGGCAGACGGCGACGAAGAAAAACATTATTCCTTGGAAGGAGAGATAGCGAGCGCTCGCCGCCAAAGTTTAGGCGCGTGGATCACGCACCGACGCTCCACTGGAACAAAAGCAAGCAGTGATGCGCAGATACCTTCCCCTCCCCCCTCCCCCTCCCCCTTCCCTCTCCCCCTCCCCTCATCGGGACCCCCGAAAATGAACCAGCAGCAAGTTGTCGAGATTATTCAGGACCACTCGATTGGGGAGCTTGTCTGTCGCTGTCTCGGCCGTGCAGCCGAGCGATTGCGCTCTGTCTCTCTCGCACCCCTACGGCACACTCCACGAGTGCGAGAGAGACAGAGCGAGGGGCGCTCGCTCGCCAGGCCGCACGGGCTGCAGTATTCATTTATGCAGGTGCCGCCTGCCGTCATATTCCGGAGGGCGATGAGCGGCCGTCGGCCCGTCGGGGCGAGACGAAGACGGAGACACCGCCAACACAGCGCGACGCCAGCAGACTGATTCCGAGAGTCGTTTTCGTCGCTCTGTTTCCGTCGCACCTACACGGGACGGCCCTTGAGAGCGAGAGAGACAGAGCGACGAAGACGACTCTCGGAATCGGTCTACAGGATATTGAATGGCACTTGGATTATGCATGCCGTGCCGGCCGATATTCGCGGCGGCGCTGAACAAATATTTTTTTGGGTGGCCGCCGCCTGCCGCCTGCCGCCCCCTGCTGGTGGTGCTCGAGGTGCGAATTCACACGATGGCGAACCGGAGACGGAGACGGGGACGGGGCGTGGGGGCCGCCCCTAGCCCGCCCTGGCCGCCCCTGGCCCTGGCCGCCCCTGGCCCTGGCCGCGTGCTGATCCGACGCGTGGTTCGGGGAAGCTGGTGAAGGAGGCGAAGCCTTAAGCCATCTCGTCTTACTCTGGCCTGGCTGGCCCCGGCCGGACTATACAGGAGCAGAGCCTGCTTCCCCTGCTGCTTCACCTACGCCGCTGCCGCTGCTTTCGCCTGCTGCAGCTGCTTTCGCGTACGCTGCTGCTGTTTCGTCTACACTGCTGCCTGCTTCGCCCATGCTGCTTAGCCCTGCTGCAGCTCCGCCTACGCTGCTCCTGCTTAAGCCTACGCTTACCCTGCTGCCACTACGCCTACACTGCTGCTTTCGCCTACGCGCGACGCGGTTGCAGCTTAGCACGCTGCTGCTGCTTCGCTTAGCTGCTGCTGGAAATTGATTTCCGCACCGCCCGGGTCCGACGTCCACGTCCCCCGGGGCACCTTGGGGTCGACGTGTCCAGCCACGCGGACATATCGAGTCCCCGCAAAAGGAAAAACAAACTAGATATGGAAAATAAAGACTGCAGTGGACGCCGTCCGACATTTCGCTTTCCAAGCTTTCCGACCGCGACCACTTGGGAGGTGGCGAGGCCGAGACCGTGCCCGAGGCCAGCCATTACCATGAGGCCGAGGCGCGGCCGGCCTGCCCCCCGGCCTCTGCCCCGCCTTATTGCGGCCCGGCCCAGGGCAAGCCACAGCCCGGCCGGACAGAGCAGGGCGGCCGAGGGAGGCCTCAAAAGGGGAGCCCCGTTGTGTCACGCTGACGGCCTCGGCCTCCGCCGGTGTCCTGCCGGGCTCAGCAGGCTGATTCTGAGAATCGTTTTCGTCGCTCTGTCTCTCTCGCACCTACACGGGACGCTCCATGAGTGCGAGAGAGACGGAGCGACGACAACGTCTCTCGGAATCAGTATGCTGCCTCGCCCGCCGGCCGGGACAAGGGATAACGAATAATGACGCCCATTTCGAGGGAAAATAAATCGACAAGAATGGGAGTAATTAGAAAATGGTCGAGAGCGCTCGGGCTGCTGCAAATCGCGTTGGCGCGCATTGTTCGAACGGACGGGGCCAACCATTCACCTCTTTCGGAGAAGGGGGAGCCGCCTCTTCTCCGACGGAAGGCTGGGAGGGGAGGGGATACATAAACCCGCCGCGTCCCAAGCTGCGGATTTTCTGCTTGAATAACGCGCGGAGGCGCAGCAACGGCGGCGCTCTGGCCCCGAAAAAAACATAAAAAAATGCGGCCTCTGGTGGCTCAGGTGGTACAGTGCGTCCCCAAAGCAGCAGGCATTGTGATGCACCGCCGCGCCTCGGTGCATAAGGAGAGCGGCCCCGACGGACGACGCGCCCGTCCTGCATGTCAAGAGCAGCACCCTGTCGACGAGGCGAGGAACAAGAAGAGGAGGAGGAAGAGGAGGAGGAAGAGGAGGAGGAGGAAGAGGAGGAGGAACAAGAAGAAGAGGAACAAGAAGAAGAGGAACAAGAAGAAGAGGAACAAGAAGAAGAGGAACAAGAAGAAGAGGAACAAGAAGAAGAGGAACAAGAAGAAGAGGAACAAGAAGAAGAGGAACAAGAAGAAGAGGAACAAGAAGAAGAGGAACAAGAAGAAGAGGAACAAGAAGAAGAGGAACAAGAAGAAGAGGAACAAGAAGAAGAGGAACAAGAAGAAGAGGAACAAGAAGAAGAAGAGGAACAAGAAGAAGAAGAGGAACAAGAAGAAGAAGAGGAACAAGAAGAAGAAGAGGAACAAGAGGAAGAAGAGGAACAAGAAGAAGAAGAGGAACAAGAAGAAGAAGAGGAACAAGAAGAAGAGGAACAAGAAGAAGAGGAACAAGAAGAAGAAGAAGAAGAAGAAGAAGAAGAAGAAGAAGAAGAAGAAGAAGAAGAAGAAGAAGAAGAAAGTGGCAGTTCGACCAATCGGAAGCCTCCGCCGTGACAGCGGGCCGCCCAGGGATGGCAAGCCGGCTGAGCCGACAGGAGTGAGGCGTCCGTGCGGCGTTTGCCATTCAAATGGAGTGAGAGTGACTGAGTGAGTGAGAGAGTGAGAGAGAGAGAGAGAGAGAGAGAGAGAGGAGAGAGAGAGAGACAGAGAGAGAGACAGACAGACAGACAGACAGACAGACAGACAGAGAGAGAGAGAGAGAGAGAGAGAGAGAGATAGAGAAGGGGCGCGGGATCAGGTCGAAGCCGCCGTCCTTGTCCAATCGCCTTCTCGACGAATTCGAAGCCCTCCTTGATGTGCCGTGCCGACCCACTGACGGCGATGGAATATTTACCGGCGGGTCATATCGGCTTTGTCTCGCCGGGCAAGGTGGTCGCTGCCTCCCCCGCGTGTCTGCGGGAGAGGCCCACGAGTGAGAGCGAGGGAGGGTAACGGAGATTCGGAATCGGCCTGCAGTAGCGGCAGCCGGGCCGACATGGTGATAAAGCTGCTTTGGCTGCCCCTGGGGCTTTGGGGCTCCGCCGGGCCGCGCCCCCGTCCCGCCCGTCCCGGCCGTCCCGCTCGCCGAGGAGGGCACGCCAAAAATAAATTCAGTCTGCGGGGGGCTTTGCCTATCAAAACTCGGATGATTCAGAGACAACTTAGGAGAACTCCCTAACCCCCTTCTTGACGGCCCAGCGTCGATCAGCCTGTCAGCCGACGGCTGGGCCGACCCGCAAAGCAGGGTAGCGCGCGCGTTGCCTACGCTCACGGCGCTCAGCCTGCCAACCGACGGCTAGGCCGACCCGCAAAGCAGGGTAGCGCGCGCGTTGCCTACGCTCACGGCGCTCAGCCTGCCAATCGACGGCTAGGCCGACCCGCAAAGCAGGGTAGCGCGCGCGTTGCCTACGCTCACGGCGCTCAGCCTGCCAAACCCACGGCTAGGGACCCGCAAAGCAGGGTAGCGCGCGCGTTGCCTACGCTCACGGCGCTCAGCCTGCCAACCGACGGCTAGGCCGACCCGCAAAGCAGGGTAGCGCGCGCGTTGCCTACGCTCACGGCGCTCAGCCTGCCAACCGACGGCTAGGCCAGTGGTTCTCAACCTTAGGGTCGCGACCCCAAGCGGGGTCGCGAAATTTTTTTAAGGGGTCGCGGCGATGCTGGGGTCGTGTTTTAGGCCGATTTTAAGCAGCCACTGCGTCTGATCCGAGGCGGGCATTTTGCTCCCTCAACGGGCAACTGGTCTTTGGACCTTCCTTTAGCATGCCTTTGTTACGGAGTGCAATTATCAGTCTTAGTTTGGGAGCAGTATTGTCTCAAAGTTGGCCGAAACGGTCAGCAGTGTCTTTGAAAAATCGTGTTTGGGCCGATTTTAAGCAGCCACTGCGTCTGATCCGAGGCGGGCATTTTGCTCCCTCAACGGGGAGTTGGTCTTTGGACCCTTTCCCTTTTGCATGCCTTTGTTACGGAGTGCAATTATCAGTCTTAGTTTGGGAGCAGTATTGTCTCAAGTTGGCCGAAACGCTCAGAAATGTCTATGAAAAATCGTGTTTTGGGCCGATTTTAAGCAGCCACTGCGTCTGATCCGAGGCGGGCATTTTGCTCTCTCAACGGGCAACTGGTCTTTGGACCTTTCCCTTTTGCATGCCTTTGTTACGGAGTGCAATTATCAGTCTTAGTTTGGGAGCAGTATTGTCTCAAAGGGTTTGGGCCCAAACGGTCAGCAGTGTCTTTGAAAAATCGTGTTTTTGGGGCCCATTTTAAGCAGCCACTGCGTCTGATCCGAGGCGGGCATTTTGCTCCCTCAACGGGCAGTTGGTCTTTGGACCTTCCTTTAGCATGCCTTTGTTACGGAGTGCAATTATCAGTCTTAGTTTGGGAGCAGTATTGTCTCAAAGTTGGCCCAAACGCTCAGAAATGTCTATGAAAAATCGTGTTTTGGGGCCCATTTTAAGCAGCCACTGCGTCTGATCCGAGGCGGGCATTTTGCTCCCTCGACGGGCAATTGGTTTTGGACCTTCCTTTAGCATGCCTTTGTTACGGAGTGCGATTGTCAGTCTTAGTTTGGGAGCAGGTTTTTCTCAAAGTCGATCAAAACGGTCGCAAGTGTCTTTGAAAAATCGTTGTGACTATTTTGGTCAACTTTGAGACAATACTGCTCCCAAACTAAGACTGATAATCGCACTCCGTAACAAAGGCATGCTAAAGGAAGGTCCAAAGACCAACTGCCCGTTGAGGGAGCAAAATGCCCGCCTCGGATCAGACGCAGTGGCTGCTTAAAATCGGCCCAAAACACGATTTTTCATAGACATTTCTGAGCGTTTCGGCCAACTTTGAGACAATACGACACCTCCTAGGAACAAGCGGCTACCTTCCGGGAGCTTCCAGACACTCGGCTATCTCGCAGTAGCTTTCAGACACTCGGCTATCTTCCAATAGCGTCCAGACACTCGGCTATCTTCCTGAGCGCTTCGGAGACTCGGCTAACTGCTTTTCCCACTTCCCGAGTTTGGGTGCGTATATATTTAAAACCAGTTGAAATGCCCTCACCGGGACCTAACCAAAATGTGTCAAAAGTTTGTCAGAGTAGATTAAAATCATGGCGTGAGCATGTCCTGATAAGTGTAACAAAGAAAAACGCTATCGAAAGGACAACCCTAACCTCTCCGCAGAAGTCAGTTAGCCGAGTCTCCGAAGCGCTCAGAAAGATAGCCGAGTGTCTGGACGCTATTGAAAGATAGCCGAGTGTCTGGAAGCTACTGAGAGATAGCCGAGTGTCTGGAAGCTCCTGGAAGATAGCCGCTTGTTCCTAGGAGGTGTCGAATACTGCTCCCAAACTAAGACTGATAATTGCACTCCGTAACAAAGGCATGCTAAAGGAAGGTCCAAAGACCAACTGCCCGTTGAGGGAGCAAAATGCCCGCCTCGGATCAGACGCAGTGGCTGCTTAAAATCGGCCCAAAACACGATTTTTCAAAGACACTGCTGACCGTTTCGGCCAACTTTGAGACAATACTGCTCCCAAACTAAGACTGATAATTGCACTCCGTAACAAAGGCATGCTAAAGGAAGGTCCAAAGACCAGTTGCCCGTTGAGGGAGCAAACTGCCCGCCTCGGATCAGACGCCGTGGCATGTTAAAGGAGGGGTCCCGTGGAGTCGCGAAATTTTTCCTGGGGGTCGCGGAAATTTTTGGCTTCAAATTTGGGGTCGCGAGCCGAGAAAGGTTGAGAACCGCTGGGCTAGGCCGACCCGCAAAGCAGGGTAGCGCGCGCGTTGCCTACGCTCACGGCGCTCAGCCTGCCAACCGACGGCTAGGCCGACCCGCAAAGCAGGGTAGCGCGCGCGTTGCCTACGCTCACGGCGCTCAGCCTGCCAACCGACGGCTGGGCCGACCCGCAAAGCAGGGTAGCGCGCGCGTTGCCTACGCTCACGGCGCTCAGCCTGCCAACCGACGGCTAGGCCGACCCGCAAAGCACGGCAGCGCGCGCGTTGCCTACCCCCATCATTACCATTACCATTACGGGCTAGACCGGCGCTCAGCCTGCCAGCGACCCGCAAAGCACGGTGGCGCGCGCGTTGCCCACCCGCATTACCATTTAAGGCTAGACCACACGTGATCACGGCGCTATGGACAACCACCTCCACCTCCACACTCACCTGCTTGAACTCCTTGCGGAAGTTGTCGTTGAGCCAGGCGTACAGGAAGGGGTTGTAGCACGTGGACGACATGGCCAGGGCGTGCACCATGAAGAAGCTGAGGTGGTAGTAGCGCCAGTTGCCCGTGGGGATGTACACGTCGTTGAGCAGGTTGATGACGTTGAGCGGCATCCAGGACACGCCGAAGATGGTCACCATGGCGATGAGCATGCGGTTGGTGCGGCGCTTGCGCTCGCGGTCCGCCTCCTCCTTGCGGCTCGACTTGCAGCCCGGCTTGAGGCGCGCGCGGTCGCGCAGCTTGAGCGACACGCGCACGTAGCAGAAGGCGATGATGACGAAGGGCACCAGGAACTGGAACACGGCCGTCAGCACGCCGTAGATCTGCGGCAGAGAGAGCGCGCCGTCAGGTTGGACGTTGCCAAAGTGGCGGTAGGCGGACGGGAAGGAGTTTGCGGTGTTTGGGCTTGGCAGTGTGGCGGCCGACGACGGCGTGCTCGCGGCCGCGGGGGCGCGAGGCTGGTCACCGCAGCCAGACTTGTTTCGGGACGGGGCTGTTTTGGACGGCGAGTGCGAAAGCTTCCCTGTTGGCGGGCCGGAGGGAGGAAGGGGGAGGAGGGGCCGCGACCAGGATGGATGGGGTGCGGTCAGGCGTGGCGGGATGGGGCGGGGCGGGGCTGGGCGGGGCGGGGCGGGGCGGGGCGGGGCGCGGTGGGGGCGTGTCGGTCCGGAGTGAGGGAACGCCACGGGGACGGGCTAGTGATTGACCATCGACATTAAAATAAAGCGGCTGCCGGTCGTCGGTTATGGTGAGGTGAGGCGGGGTGGGGCGGGGTGCGGTGGCCCGGCCGGACCAGGGCGTGGTGGGGGCGCACGGGCTGAACCTTTAAACCGCAGCCCAGGAGCAGTGACCCTCCCCCTCCCACACAAGGAGCGCGCTGGACCGGCGCCATGATTTAACGCTCAGATTAGTCGGTGGGTCCCCGATGGGCCCGGAACCCCGACGCACCCCACCCCGCCCCGCCCCGCCTACCACAATGCCCCCTGCCGTGCCCCGCGCCGAACCGCCCCAGTCGTGTTGCCCTCCCGCTCCCCTCTCTTGCCACCACTTTGGAGGTTGCTCGCGGAAAAGGTTGCCACAAATAAATGTCTGCGCGGAAGCTGAAAAAATAAAACAAAAATAACGCAGCGGGTGTTTTGGCGCGAAGGGAAAGGGGAGGGGGCAGCGCGTCGCAGGCACGCCGCACCTTTATTTCTGTGTGGGTGGGGCCGGGGGCAGCCGGGGCAGCCAGAGGCGGCCAGGGGCGGTGTCGGGAGGTGTTGCCAGAGTTATGACTTACTCAGCTGAGCGGCCGTTTCCTGTTAAAGGCTGCAGTGATTACATCGTGGCGTGTGTGTGTGCGCGTGTGTGTGTGTGTGTTCGTGTGCGCGTGCGCGCATGTCTTGGTGTCTAAGAGTGTGTGTGTGCGTGTGTCTTGGAGTCTGCGTGTGGGGGCAGGAGGTGTTGGTGTGTGTGAATGTGCGCGTGTTTTTTTCTCCCCGCGCAAAAAAACATTGCCGAGTGCCTTCATCTCTCCAGCTGCCGGAAGCACGCCGCGGTTCCCAGTTATATTATTATTTCCAGGAAACGGGAAGAACAAAAAAAATGAATGAAACACACGGTCGTAGGATTTCCCATCCGGGCAATATAATGGTATGAGCAGAATGTGAGCGTCATTTCCCCGCCGCAGCCCAGACGCAACACCACAAAAAAAAACCTTTTTTTCTTTTTTTAAACCGTTTTTTACGGTGTGCATCATTACAGCGCGTCACTCAATTAGAAGCAGGCCGGCCGGGCCACGGCTTTGCTGCCCGCCCCGCCCCGCCCCGCCCCGCCCCGCCCCGCCCCGCCCCCGCCCGCCCCGCCCGCCGCCCGCCAACGATATGAATGTCCGGGTAAATAAAAGAGGGTCGGCACACAGCGAGCCGACGCGGCGGCGGGTCGCGGGCGGGTCGGGGACGTTTCGGTTCGGCAAACAGCTGGGCACGATGACAACGACGACCGGACGGACTCGGTGACAGTCCATTTAGACGCGGGGGAGAGGGGGGAGGGGGAGGCGGGGAGGAAGGGGGTGGCGTGGAGTGGGTCGCGTGCGCAGGTTGCCATGGGGACGATGCATCAGGGGCCGGCAAAACTGGCAAATCAGCTACGGAAGCCCCAAGCATGCAAACACATACGTGCGTCGGATGGAAAAGCAGAAAAACACACAAAAAATATAAAACATGAAAACAGAGCAAAGCGAGCAAGCGCAGGCAAATTACGGTACGAGCGTGTTTTGCGCTAATGGCGACAACGTGCTGCTCTGTCGGCCGTTGGGCGCGTCTCGACCGCGTCGGCCTTCTCGGCCACGAGGAGCGACCGACCGCCCCGCCGGGAGTTGAACAACCGGCGGGCGAGCCGAGCCAAGGGCACCGCGAGGGCGCCGCCAGGCCCGTCGGGCCCGCCAGGCCAGGGGCAAGGAGCAGCAGCGTGGCCGCGGCAAAGCGAGGCAAAGCGGGGCAAAGCCACGCAAAGCCCTCAGTCCCCCAACCGCGCAGAGCCCGCACACTTTTTCGCGCATCCCCGCGGACCCCGCGGCCGAGGCGCTCGGAATATTAACAGTGCGGCGTGCAAGCGCCCCACGGCCAGCGGGCCGGAGTGCAGTGGCAGCCGCCTTCTACAGCGCGGAGGCAGAGCCGCTACGGCCACACTCTAAATATGGGGTGCCCAGAAACTGGGAGCGACTGGGAGCCTTTGTCGCCCGCCCCACTTTTTAGGGTGGCAAAATGTCGCCCAGTTCCTGGGCACCTTTGTCGCCTAGTCTCGGGGTGGACTAACCATGAAGGAACCTGCCTTCACCCATGGCTCAGCAGTGACCAAGGTGCCAGATTCTGGGCACCTTACCCAAGTCGCCCAGGAACTAGACACCTGAGCATGTTCTACCATGGGAGAGGGACGGTTACTGTATGATTTTTGTCCACCCCGAGACTGGGCGACAAAGGTGCCCAGAAACTGGGCGACATTTGGCACTCTAAAAAGTGAAGCGGGCGACAAAGGCGCCCAGTTTCTGGGCACCCTATAGAGTGCAGGCGCGGATCCAGGATTTCGCTAAGGAGAGGTAAGGCGGTGTTTTTTGACTACTTTCAGATGACCTAACGAGTACCGAAGAAAAGAAGAGGGCTGGACGGTATATCACCGGAAGGTGGGGGGATCTCAAGTGGTTGGCCATCGCATGTCAGGCAGGATCGTTGGTCGCCGCTTTGTGGCCGTCTTAGAATTTTAGGCGGGGGTTTACCTCACCCGGACTCACCAGTCTGAAGTTCTCCGACGGCCACGTCTCCTCGCAGTACAGGCGGCCGTCCACGTCCTTGTGGTTCATGTACAGCCCGTAGGGCAGCGTGACGACCACGGAGAAGAGCCAGATGGACGAGATGATGACCACGCAGGAGGTGAGCTGCATCCGCGGCTGCTGGCACACGGGGTTGGTTGGGTTAGTATACCGGCGTCGCGACTTCATAGCAGGTTGATTCCAAAGAGTAGTTTCTTTTGCTCTGTCTCTCTCGCACCCATGGGGCGTCCTGTATGGTTCCAAGAGAGATAGACTGACAAAACGATCCCTCTGTTATCTATTGATATTCAAGAAGCATGACTTCACATTCCTTTGAATGTGAAAACTGTCTCATTTCTTTAAACATAATTGATCAGACTTAAAGGAACGTGACCGGCTTAGTTCATCTGTCACATTATTTTAAGCGTGACATCAGCCAGCTGGAAAGCTGACTCGTTTCTTTCGACAAGCCATGCAATGCTAATTTTGACGAGACAATTTGAATCAAACTGGGCAGCAAAGGCTGGGCTCATCTGAGAAACTGTTCACTAGAACAGCAGTCTTCATGGTTTACATAAGAACTGAGTGGTGAAACTATTCACCAGCAAGATGGTGAAACTTAATCATTTCCGCCCAACTTTGCTCTCACATGGACTGGTCTATGTATGTCTTTCATAGCCGCCATTAGTTCAACCCCAAGTTTTTCTTTAAAATGCACGAACCTAAGGTACTGCAGCGGCCTCTCTGAATATTTTAGTGGGCAGGGTGACAGCTTCTGATGATATACAACATTGGAAGAAATCCAAGACATAGGGCTTTGTGTAATGGCAGACCAGGACGGGGGTGATGGTGATGTGTTGATCAACTTGTACGATTTTCACAGTAAACTGGGTCTTCATCTTACTGCCACACGAATATTCCCAAACGCACAAAAGATTCTTGAAGAGTCGTTATCAGACAGTACGACACAAATCTAATTTGAACACAAAACCGTTAATTTCCCGCGACAACTTGGCGACCGCACTGTTTTACCGACCCGACTGCCTATAACGACTAAAGGCTCTTCTCGAGCTTCTTTTGTTTTGCCCACGTTATTCGCAGGTGAACCGAACCAGTAAATAACAGTCGCCTGTCTTTGTTGTGATCAGCTGCACCCGCACGAAGCTCTAAAATCTTAGTTGTTTCTTGTACTGTGTGATGACAACTCTTCCAGAATCGTATGTACGTTGGCGACTATTCGTTTGTCAATACTTGAAGACCCAGTAGAATGTGTGTCGCTTGGAATACTGTGAAAATCATTCAAGATCAAGAGCACCTCAACCCATCTTGGATCTGCTACATCACAAGACAATGTGTTACATTACTTTCAACGTTGGATCAGAAGCCATCGCCTTGACCACAAATTGGTTCAGAGGGGCTGCTCGAGCATCCAAGGTAAGTATATAAAGAAAAAATTGGGTATGAATTATGGTGGCTCCATGTGAGAGCGGAGTTGCAACGGATATGATTTGATTTCATCACCTTGCTGGTCTTTAGTTTCACCTCTCAGTTTTTAAGTAGGCCATGAACACCACTGTTCTAGTGAACAGTTTCTCTGATCAGCCCAGCCTCTGCCGCTCAGCTTGATTCAAATTGTCTCGTCAAAATTTGTGTTTGTGTTGTTGAAAGAAACGTGGCAGCTTTCCAGCTGGCTAGTGACACGCTTAAAATAATTTGACAAATGAACCAAGCCTGTCATGTTTGTTTAAGTGTGACCAGTTACATTCAAAAGAAATGTGACAAATTCCACATTCAAAGGAACGTCACGCCACTCTTCTTGAATTACAGTTGAATCAGACTGCAGGGGGTGCGTGGCAGTGGGGGCAATTTGGGGGTGGAGCGAACCCCTAGAACAGGCTGGGCCGGCCGGCTGGCATCGGGACACAGCGAGCTGATTCCGAAGAGTCGTTTCATGGCTGTCTGTCGCACTCATAGAGCATTCCACAAGAGTGGGAGAGAGACAGACTGACGAAACGATTCCTCGGAGTCGCTTGGCAGAACGCGCGGGCAGCCCCACTGGCTACTGTTTCCTTCCCTTTACTCTTCCCCCCTCCTTCCTCTCCGCTCCCCTCGAAGTCACCAGGACTGACTCCGAGAGTCGTTTTCGTCTGTCTCTCTCGCACCTTTAGAGGACGCCCGAGGACGCCCCATGGGCTTGATGCCGAGCTTGATACCGAGAGTCGCTCTCGTTTCTCTGTCCCTCTCGCACCTATACGGCACGCCCCATGAGTGCGAGAGAGACAGAGCGACGAAAACGACTCTCGGAATCAGGCTGCAGGGGGAGCACGGCGAGCCTCGCCGGCCCTTGTGCGTCCTGCTGCATTCCAGGGGGTCGTCGGAAGGGAAGGCGGGGGGAGGGAAGGGGTGCATCGCTGTCGCCTGTGGAACGCGGCCTGCAGGGCCCACACTGGTAGGCCTCGCGACGCGCTCTGGGCACGGCCTCGGCCTCACTGCAGGCACGGCACGCCACGCCACGGCAGAGGCCCCGAGGGAAATCGGCCGAGGAGCCACAAGATAAACACGGGGGAGACAACAGCACGCCGTGGAGGCGGCCGAGGCAGCGCGGCAAGGACTCGTCAAGGACGCGCCGGTGCAATCCGTGCAATCCGAGCGAGGCACTTCGAGACACGCGATTTCGGTTTCGAACAACGGGTCGCTCTCGCTCTCCGCGCGCGTTTCGGCTCAAGTGGCGGTTAGTCGCGTTGACAAAAAGAGAGTCCCGTTCCTTCCTGTGGGTTAGGCATTCGGCGCAGGTCGGTCTAACGACGCCGAGGGGATGCATTTTCCTTTCGGAGTCCCCACCGCGCGCCTCTCTCTCTGACGCCGCCACTCCGCTACGCACGCGGCGCACGCCAGCAGGCTGATTCTGAGAGTCGTTTTCGTCCCTCTGTCTCACTCGCACCTCTACGGGACGCCCCGCGAGTGCGAGAGAGACAGAGCGACGAAAACGACTCTCGGAACCAGTCTGCAGGGCAACAGGCCTTCCTAATTGAAGCGCGCGCGCACGCCGCTGCAGCTCGAGGGCCTCGTCCGCGTCGTCGGGCCTCGGGGGCGCGGCCTCTCGTTTTGTTGTTGTTGTTGTTGTTAGCTTTTTTGCGGTCGGGCTGTACCCCCCACCCCGCCCCGCCGCCCTGCCCTGAGCGCCACAACAAAATACAAAGTGTCAACAAGGGGCCGCGGGGCGGGGTGCGCGCCACGCCCTGGCGGCCTGGCGGCCTGGCTGGCGGCGCCCTGGCGGTGCCGGCCGGACTTAATGACGAGACGCTAATGAAGATAAATGGCGGCCATTACTCACATGGAACGGGTAGATGATGACGAAGAAGCGGTCGATGGCGATGGAGGTGAGCGTGAGCGTGGAGATGTACACGCTCGTGCCCTGCGCGTAGGCCACCAGGTGGCACAGCATGCTGCCGAAGATCCACTGTCCGAGGAACGAGTAGAGCGGCGTGAAGGGCACGGCCAGGATGCAGAGCAGGATGTCGGACAGGGCCAGGTTGGTGATGAAGAAGTTGGTGACGGTCTGCATGGCGCGGTTGCGGCCCACCACGTAGCAGACGAGCACGTTGCCGAACACGCCCAGCACGAAGATGGTGGTGTAGCAGATGAAGAAGAAGGCCTGCACGCCGGCGTCCTCGATGATGTCCATGTCGGGGTGCCGGCTCCAGTTGTAGTGCGACTGCTGCAGCGGCGACGCGTTGGCCGCCGACTCGAGGGGCGGCCCACTCCAAGGCCCGAGGGGCGGCCGCGGCACCTGTAGGGCCTGGTGGTGCAGCGGGCTCGCCGTGGCGTTCACTGACATCGTCACTGTTTCCATTTGCACTTGAAAAAAAAAGTCACGAGTCACTTTGCCGTTTCGTCCACTAGTTCACAGTGTGCCGATCCGGCGCCTTTTGGTCCGGCGGGGCGACGCTGGCGCGGCGCCGCCTTACACGGCCGTCTCCAGGGACGGCTCCGACGCGCTGCCTTCGGCGCTGGCCTCGGGGGCGGTCACGGCGACGTCCTCGGCGACGTCCTTGGCGGCAACATCGGTAGCGACATCGGCGGCGACATCGGCGGCAACATCGGCGGCAACATCGGTCGCAACATCGGCGGGAACCTCGGCGGGAACCTCGGCGGCAACCTCGGCGGGAACCTCGACGGGCACCTTGGCGGCAACGTCGGCAACGGGCTCGGGGACAACGTCGTCGTCGTCGAACTGGATGGTCCTCATGACGTGGCGGGGCACCACCACCTGGACCTCCACGCGGCGGTAGGTCCTGGAGACCACCGCCACCGCCGGGCGGCTAGGCGGCGCCCCCTCGAGGTCCGCGCCGGCCGGCCTGGGCTCCACGATGACGTCCCGGTGGTGGGAGGGCGACGCGTGGCTGCAGCCGGGGCCGTCCGCGTAGGCCGCGTTCTCGAGCACCTCGCAGTCCCGGCCGCTGCGGCCGCTCTGCGCGCTGGAGCGGCGCCGCGCGAGCTGCTCGGCCACCCACACGTCCAGGTGGATCTCGAAGCGCGCCACGCGCACGGTCGAGCGCAGCACGGGCACGGAGTGGTTCTTGGGGTGCAGCACGCTAAGCATCTTGCTGGCGCATGCGCGCGACACTGTAACACGACAGCAAAGTCTCTATCAGGAACTGTGGCGCCGCCTGCCACCGTGGGCCTGAAGACCGATGCAGGCGGCCAAAAGTCTAGACGCGTTTTGAGCTCCATAGTAGAGTCGTTAAACAGGACTCGAACCGAACGTGTGACCCCACCAATAGATTCCTCGTTCAGAGAGCAATCCGTTGGTGGGGTCGCTCGCTCTGTTCGAGTCCCATTCAGCGACTCTGGCGCTCAAAACGCGTCTGGAGGTTTGGCCGCCTCCACCGGTCTTCTGGCCCACTGTGCGCTGAGTGAAAGTGCACACGTCGGGCAGGCCGCCCTGTGTGGAGAATCACGCCGAGTTTCCGGCGAGTGGTGTTGGATGTGCAAACAGTAGCGCGAGGCTAGGCGGTGATTGGCAGGCGTGGGCGGGGAGGGGAAAGGGGGGGGGGGCACTCGAGCGAGATCCGCCCCGCCCCGTCATCGCAACCATTCAACTGTCATTTCCGCCGCGCAGACCGCAAACTGCCGCGCTCTTATTATTTTGGCGGTCATCGTAATTACCGCGACTATCGAGTAGTTTTGTCCGCGACTGTACGCGGCGCTGCCGTCATGGCTCAGGCGTGGGCGGCGAGGCGAGGGCTCGCCGGACGGACACCCACCAACAGACTGATTCCGAGGGTCGTTTTCGTCGCTCTGTCTCTCTTGCACCTACACGGGACACTCTATGAGTGCGAGAGAGACAGAGTGACGAAAACGACTCTCGGAATCAGTGTGGTCTGCTACGCTGCCCCGGTGACAGGCCATTTGGACCGCGCCCCGCCACGCCGCGCGGCGCGCACCCCCGCGGTACCAGAGACCTCCCCGACCACCACCGTCACCGTCGCTTTGTCTCTCTCGCACCTGCACGGGGCACCCATGAGTGCAGAGGCGCGACAAAACGCTCTGAACGTCTGGCCGCCTCCACGTCATCGCCTCCATCAGAGCGCTCGGTGCGTGCTCACCTCTCGGCCGCCGCCAAAAACGCCATTTTCACCGCGAAAAAAGTTGAAAGGGATTGGGCGGGAAGGCAGAGAAGGGAAGGGCCGGCGGCACCAAGGGGGATGGCAGCCCCGCGGGGTGAATGGGAGGCGGGGGCAGGGGGGCAGGTTTGGGTGAAAGCAATATGGGAAGGACACCGCCACAACCGATAGTGTTCACGCGACGCGAACCGGCCGCTCTCCGAGGCCAGGCCTGGCCCCCGCCCTGATAACACACAATGGGAGGGACCCCGACACTGACTCTCTTGCCCTATACGTAACAGTTATTGAGCAGACCAAAGAGTGACAAAAAATTCCGCTTCGTAAATTACCAACACGAATCAAGGGGCCATTGGACAAGAGTGGCCAGTGCCGATGGGCGATTTCGACACCCCTGTTGCCTATTTCCAGGCTTTTTGCCACCTGTGGGTCTTCTTGTTTCGAAATGTGGAAGGGGCACCCCCTTAGGGAAAGAGGAAAAGCAAACGGAAAACGACTCTTTTTAACAGTTGGGGTGCCCCAATGCCCTTTCCACCGTCCAAAAACCGATATTTCCCAAGGCAGAGGGGCAGGGGGGGGGTCGGGGCTGCTGCACATCCAGCACCGGCCCCAGGCAACCAAAAAGACCTTTTTCCACCGTTGCTAAATGAGACTTGAATGGAATTGGACCCCCGAAGGAAAGGCAGAGAATGGGAAGGTGATTCACCGAGCGGAAACACCGAGTTATGGACGAGAGGTTGGGGGCCCAACGGGGAGGGGAATGTGGCCGGCGGCGGGGGCCAGGGGGTGGGGGAAGCAATATGAGGAAGGACACCGCCACAACCGTATACGTGTTCCAACTGGCGATGCGCGAACCGCGCCTGCTCTCCGAGGCCTGGCCTGGCACCCCAGCATTGATAACAACAACAATGGGAGGCACCCCGAAACACTGACTCTCTTCCCACAACTATACTTGTATTTTAATCATGATTATTCGTAGCAGTTACTTCTAATTTTTAAGGGGACTAAAAAAATTCCGCATTCGTAAAAACTTTACAACAACCACGAAAAAAAATTCAAGGGGTGACCCACTGTAAAGTTGGGTGAACAATTATGATTGTGGGAATGAGCACGAGGGCAAGATTTCTGACGTATTTTCCACACATGTTGCCTATTTGCAGGCGTTTTTGCCACCTAAATGTGGAGTGTATTCATTCAAATTTTGTTGAATGAATTTGGGAAGGGAAGTTGTTCCACCCCTGGGGAAAAATGGTTAATAACTGCTAAAAACAGGTAAAAGCAATTTCAGTCTTTGTAACGGTTGGCGTGGACCACTGAGTCGCCCGTTGCGTGTGGGCAGCCAGTTCCTTGTAATAACCGAATATTTCCACAAGGCGGAGGGGCGAGGGAGGGAGATCCCGGGGGTGCGGGTGCACAGTGGGCCAGCAACCGGCGCAGGCGGCCAAAATTATAGACGCGTTTTGAGCTCCAGAGTTGCTAAATGAGATTTGAATCGGACGTGTGACCCCACCAATGGATTGCTCTCCGAACGAGGAATCCATTGGTGGGGGTCACACGCTCGATTTGAGTCCCATTTAGCGTTTCTGGAGCTCAAAATGCGTCTAGAATTTTGGCCGCCTCCGCCGGTTTCTGGCCCACTGTGGGGTGGACGGGCGGGCGCGGTCGGCCCCGCCAGGACCGCTGTGGTGGCGCGCGGCGCGGCACCCCGCCCGCCGCCGGGAGGGAAGTAATATATTTTGACGTGGCGTAAGAAGAGCAACTGCAGGAATCCGCTCCCGAGCTCACCGGGCCCGCGGCCAGGCGGCCTGTCCCCGCCCCACGGTAATCTTGTTTTGGCCAAAGTGGACGGGAAAATTCCGCGCGCGGCATCCGCGTATACGACGCAGACGCGTAAAAAAAAGAAGAACAAAATTTGAGTTTGCGTGTATTTTTACCATTTCAGAAGGTTTGATAATTTTTCTTTGAGTCTTGTAACAGGCCTGCTGGGAAAGTTAATTAATTTGAATTTTGCAGTATACTTCACAAATTATAATCTTTAGGTATTATTTTCCCTGGGCAACGAAAGGAGGATCTGCCCGCGCTCGTGACTGCGTCTGTGTTCGCGTCTTTGTGTGTTTGTCGGTGTGTGTGTGTGTGTGTGTGTGTGTGTGTGTGTGTGTGTTGTCTGTCGTCTGTCTGTCTGTCTGTCTGTCTGTCTGTCTGTCTGTCTGTCTGTCTGTGTGTGTCTGTGTGTCCGAACCGTGTCTCTGTCCGTGTTCGTGTCCGTGTCTGTGTCTCTCGTCCGATCCGTTTCGCTGGCTGCGCTGCCGGGAGCACCGCCGCACGCTGCGGCCACTGAGAGCCTGGTCCGCTCTACTTGCAGTCACGTCATTTCGTGGTCCACCGGCCAAGGATGCTGCTGGGGCGCGCCCGATCCGCTCTTTCCACCCCCACCCCTTTTTTTCTGCTCCCCACATTCCTACACACTTTTCTGCACCTCTTCCAGCAGACTGATTCTGCGAGAGTCGTTTTCGTCGCTCTGTCTCTCGAGGACCTACAGGGGACGCCCCATCAGTGCGAGAAAGACAGAGCCGGACAGAGCGACGAAAACGACTCTCTGAATCAGTATGTAGACTTCTTCCAACGCCGGTCTGGTAATTGCCTCCACCGTGAGATCCACAGCACAGACTCGGCGCTGTTGGACTCGCGTAGGATGGTCAGTTGGCCTGAAAAAGATTTGAGACGTTGGGACTCGATCACTGGACCACATGCCTCTCATCTCTCGGCCAGCAGAGCTTATACTACAAAGTAAGTGCTCACATCCTGTTGGCCGAGAGATTAGAGGCGAGTGGTCCCATCAGTAGGGTCCAGTGATCGAGCCCCAACATCTCAAATCCATCATACCCCTAGTCGTGCCCTCGCCCTGCCCTCCAGCGACTCCCTAACTCCACTCCACTTTCCGTTCCGCTCAGCTTGGCTAGCTCGGCGTACCTCCCTCCGCGTGCCTCCTTTCCTGCCTTTACGGCCGATGGCCCCGTTTGGATGCACAACCCTATTCGCGATATGGCCGTCCGATCGCCCCCCCACCCCCTCTCCATCTCTCTCTCTCCCCCCCTCCCCTTCTCCGTCTCCGTCTCTCTCCCTCCGCCTAGACGAGCTCCCTTTACGAGTGGGCCGTATAAATGCACCCCAGCTGTGCATGCGGAGCAGCGAGGGCAGGCAGAATGTCATCACCGCTATACCTGCGCAGTGCGCTGCGCTGGGGGGACGGAGGCAGAGAGAGACTGCCCCTTTGGGACAGACTTGGTCCGACGTGGACAAGAGAGACTGACGCACAGCGGGCCAGAAGACTTGTGGAGGCGGTCAAAATCCCGGACGCGTTTTGAGCTCCAGAGTCGCCAAACAGGACTCGAACCGGACTGTGACCCCACCAATGGATTGCTCTCCGAACGAGGAATCCATTGGTGGGGTCACACACTCGGTTCGAGTCCTGTTTGGCGACTCTGGAGCTCAAAACGCGTCTAGAATTTTTGCCGCCTACACCGGTCCTCTCTGGCCCGCTGTGTGATGTGACGGAACTGTAGGTATCGCTCCTGGTGGGACGACGTTGACGTGGAGCGGCACCGTGACTTTTCTACACTTAGACTCGACGAGTCCCCATCCCAACAAGGAGTGGATGAAAGTGGCGCGAAAGCGATGCTTGCGCTGGCGATGGATCCAGTTGAGTTGAGAAAGGCAAGATTCCCAAAAGACAGACGTTCTCCGGGGAGATTGACGACTCAAAACTACTATCGCAAAGTCCTGAAGCGAAGGGGTATGCACTCCCGTAATAGTCGGGTCACTCTGTCCTTCATGGCGCGTAACAGTAGTGTAAAAGTTGCGTAATAGACGAAATTCTCCTAATTTTATCCATTTTCGGTTGTTTTTCGGCTGTTCTTAGACCAATTTTCGATGGTTTTCGGGTGTATTGAATTGAAGCGTAATAGGCGTAATAGTCCACAATAGGCCACATGTTTTGATAGTGCAACCCCCTCGTCCTGAACCCGTTTCATTGAATCCCAAATGATGCTCTACCGAAGTTTTCCATATCGTTCATAATTCATGGTTCCTTGATGTACTTTCTAATATTTTTTTTCAGTGACGCGCTAAAATCCACCCCGCTGCAAACTTTTCCCAGCGCGGCCAAAGGTACACCCTTAAAACATTGCGAAGTATTTTGAGCATACATACGTACAAACTAATTTACTTTGTTATACGAAGAAATAGTTCGTAAATTACGAAGTATTTTCTTTGTAAGCTTATGTATGCTCGAAATGCTTTGTTCTAACCAACCTCTTTGCTTTGTAAGGCCTGAAATAGTTTGTAAGGTTTTCTCAGTGTACTCACGCAGACTCCGCCTCGGCCTCCAGGTGGACACTTGCTGGTTGTCGGAGCCGCTGCAGCCGGAGGCGCCGGAAGCTCCCTCCTCGTGGGAGTTGAAGCACCCCATCCACGCTGCCAGCGCTGCCAGTCCGGTCGGCCTGGTCTCGGCTCACATGTCGGTCCCGCGGCGCCACGCCGCCACGCGCCGCCACAACAGGTGCTGGACTCGCAGGCCGGTCCGCCCGGCTCGCAGTGCAGGCGCTGCTGGGGGTGGCTGTGGCGGGGCTCGCGGCGCAGCCCTCTCGCCCGGACTCTCGACGCGCACTGAGCCGCCGACGCCGCCAGCACCACCCCGCCGAGCGCGGCGAGCGCGGCGAGCGCCCCCACCCCCAGCGGGGCCCAGCGGGCTGCTGGCTCCGGGAGACTCCACGGCGCGCAGGCCCGGCGCGGCCCGGGGCACGCGGCCCCGCGCAGCCACAGGTTGGGTGGGGTGTCGAACACCCTGGCCTGGCACACCCCGTGCACCCCGTGCACCTCCCGGGGGCCTTTAAATCCAAATCAGGGCGCGAAATCGCCGGCCGCGCTGCTGCAGCAGGCATGCCTCCGACGGGACGGACTCCGCCTCCGCCTTGCTGCGCGCTGCAGACTGAGAGTCGTTTCCGTCGCTCCTTCTCTCTCTCTCTCTCTCTCTCTCTCTCTCTCTCTCTCTCTCTCTCTCTCTCTCTCTCTCACCTACACGGCACACCCCATGAGTGCGAGAGAGACAGAGCGACGGAAACGACTCTCGGAATCAGTCTGCCGTGCGCGTGGAGCGGGCGGCTGTGCGCCTGGCAGGTGGGCAGCACGTCCGACACGCCAGCTGCCAGGGCTGTCTCCCTCCAGGCGGACGAGGCTGTCAGGCGCTGCTGTCACGACGCTCGCCCCGCCGCCCCGGCCGGTCCGGTACTCACTCGTCGCACAAACTTGCCCCGGCCGCACACCTTGCAACGTGCAGACTCCACTTTGGACCGGTAGTGAACGGGCCGAGGGGGTATGCGCTCTCGCTGAACCTTGCACACTAAATTCTTATGGACTTTTTTATGCATAGTTATGCATGCACAGATACACTCCATATGTTATGTTAAATTTGCATCACTGTTACATTTTATGCAGGAAGATGCATAAAGTGTACAACAGTGTGCCAAATTTTATACATACCTATGGACGTTTCTGAGCATGCATAACTATGCATAAAACATGCGTTCTTATGCATTTAAAAAGTCCATAAGAATTTAGTGTGTGTGTGTACCGACTATTACGCTATTACGCTCTAATACGCCACAAATTAATCGGAACTTAGCTAAAGACGGCCTAAAACACACCAAAATTGATAAAATTTTGACAATTTCGGCTATTACGCGACTGTTACGAGTATTATTACGCGGGCTATTACAGATAGAGTGAACCGACTATTACGCGAGTGCATACCCCCTCGGAACGGGCAGTGTCGCGCAAGATTTTGAAACGATTTTGTACCGTAAGGGAAATAGGTTTCTTTTTCCTCTCTCGCTTCAGGAGAAAGTATTCAAAAATCAAGTCATGATACCGTCAAATCATGTCATTTTGATATTAAAATGGACCAAATTTTGACAAAAATAGTCTCTTTCTAGGGTCACATTGACATTGTTGGACTAATTTTTTGTTCGCCATGCTGGGTTTGTGAATACGACGGTGGTCTGTTTTTCACTGGTGGGCAGTTTCAGCGCGCCGCGTGAAGCCCGTGAAGCGCACTGTTAATGTCAGGCTGTTCATCTCTTTAGCCATAGAGGACGCCAGCTCAGTGGGGCGGCTCCAGTCCGGACTGTGACAATGCTGACGCAACGGGGGAAGGTACATTCAACAAAGAAATAAACACTCGGCTCATCAATCTTTATTCATTCCAAAAAAATACACAGGCACACTTTTCATTCTCTCGAATCTGCATAAAGGAAGCGATGTCTAACTACGAATTATTCAACAATGAACAACGACAACATTACTAGCAAAAATAAATAAATAAATAAACAAATATAGAACAGGTATGGCCTTTGTCGTATCGAAACGCATATCTAGGAATTTTATTTGTCTCTTGCAGCACCAAACCACGCCATCTAGTTGATGTAGCGATGGATTGCACGTACAAAAATTACAATTGTAATTGATTAGCTTTAAAATATCAACATGACTCTGGTGACAGAGCTGCGCCTTGAATTAAGAAAGGCACAATCTACGTCATTCTTACATCAAACAATAAATATTATAAATAAATAAACAAATAATAAATAAATAACTTACTTAAACAGTACTTGCTACATTAATGACTACGTGAGCAGGAGTGAGTACATTAGTCAGTTGGTGATCAATGACATTTTCCAATGTTTAGAAATTCCCATAATTTTTCGTTTTGTGTATCGTTTTCAGTCTGCTGGGTATTCACCGTTGCCGTGACGACATACTGCGTCATATTTTCCCTGAGTTTTTACGAAAACTATTGTACTCTTTCTTAACTAAAGCAGCAATGCACTTTAAGGAAGGCCAGTTGAAAATGACCTCACGGACACAGTAACTGCACAATTGTTTACAAGGCCCACACAGTTTTGAGCGTGTAAAATTTTTCGTCAAACAAGCCGAGGGGTGAATTACTAGTGTACTCATGTGTACAAATTTGTCCGTACTCAGTGTACTCACAAGTTTAAAAAGGGCGAAATTCTCTTGTTTTTCGACCGATTTGTCGTTGAGGGCCGTTAAAAACACTAAATAAAGCCTTAAAACGTTTTAAATTGTGAAATATATGAGTAAACCAAGGTGTACTCACCCGTACTCATGTACTCATGTGTACACCAGAACGCTGAGTGATTCACCCCTCGAAACAAGCTCACGCAAAGTCATTGCCAAATGTGTGGGACATTTCGTGGGTTTGAACAAAAATCGCGCGTGCGTGAGAATTGTAATAGACCTCGTAAACGTTGGACGAAGGAATTTAGCGCGGGGTTTTGCCATCCGCACGGAATCCAAACCCCGTAAAAAATACAGAACGCCGTTGCTGCATCCCCATTCACCGACCCAAGAGTTGAGAAGAGACCCTCTCAAATTAAACTGAAGGCGGCTTTTCCCCAGCGAGGCGCGGTGCTCCCCGCGCCCCAAGCCCCAAGGAGCACAAGTAGCTTACTCGAACGTTGGCACAGCGCGGCCGCCGCAGAGCGGGCCAGGAGACCGGTGGCGGCGGTCAAAATTCCAGACGCGTTTTGGGCTCCAGAATCTCTGAACAGGGCTCGAACCGAACGTGTGACCACACCAATGGATTCGTGGTTTGGGGACCAATCCTTTGGTGGGATGGGATCACACGATTCGGTTCGAGTCCCGTTTGGCGACTCTGGAGCTCAAAACGCGTCCAGAGCTTTGGCCGCCTGCGCCGCTCTTCCGGCCCACTGTGTGCAAGACGGCCGCGGCGCCGAGGGCCAGCAAGACCTTGCGGCGAGCTGGCCCCCGCGCAGGAAACTGTCGGAACGTTCGTCAAAACTCGTGTAAACATGTCGTGCTGCTTGGGAAGTGGAGCAAGCCGCCCCGCAGGCCGATTCCGAGTGGGCGGCCTCTCTCTCGCACTGATGGGGCGCCCCGCAAGGGTGCGAGAGAGACAGACCGACGAAAGCCCCGCCCGGAATCACTCTGCAGGCCGGGAGCGCGGTCACAGGTCCGTGTTGACGGTGCAGGCCGGGTACAGCGTCAGGCAGTCCTTGGCGTTCTGGCCGTCGCGGGCGGCCTGCACGTAGCGGTAGAAGCGCACCACGGCCGAGTTGAGGGAGGACGGCTTCTGCAGCTCAGTGGGGTCCCTGGGGACAAAAACAACAACACAGATGTCAACATGATTGAGGGCGTAATCGTCCGCAAAACGCGCCGCGGCATGAACACGACAAGGACGACACATTTTCCCCTCGAATGGCGTTTTCTTGGAGACAGGCGCGCTGTCCCTGCCATTTCGCACGGACACGTCTCGCCGGGCTCACTCGCACTGCCCCGCTCTGCTCCGCCTCGCCCCGCCTCGCCCCGCCCGCCCGCCACGCCCCGCCCCGCCACGCCCCCGGCAGCACAAATGAGGGCGATTTTCGCGTACAAGGCCGACGTCGTCTTCCCCATGTCTTCTTCAATTTCCTGTCCTTTGTAGCCACCCCACCCTCCGGCCGCGCGACACGTGAAAAAGGGGAGGGGGGGCTAGCAGCGTGTGTATGTGTGTGTGTGTACATGTAGAGGTGTGTCGGTGTACGCGGAGATGTGTGTGTGTGTGTGTGTGTGTGTGTGTGTGTGTGTGTGTCAGCTCGGCCGAGCAGACTTCGCCGCCGGAAAGAACACGGCGACGTCGACGCCGCCGGCAAACGCCCATACGTTGCTGGTGTAGCGCCCTCCTGCGCCCTCCCACCTCGCCCTCACCCCTCGCCTCTCGCCTCGAGGCTTTGTGTGTGGAGGAAGGGGCGGGGGTGAGTAGGGGCTGCTCACGGAGCTGCATCACGGCGGACACGGGGGATGCCAGCACTCTGTTCCCCAGGAAGTACCTCCCCCTCCCCCCCCCCACTACCGAGGCTCGTTGCTCTCGCAGCGGAAGCTCCCCCATTTTCTGTCCTTTCGCTGACGAGCCTGGAACGGAGGGAAAAGTGGGGCATGTGGGGAAAAATGAGAGAAGGGCGCGCAAACACGCGAGCGTAGGGTGTCGAGGCGGGGAAGGAGGTGGGGGAGAGATTTTTCGACGACGGAAGCGCGCGTCCTCGAGGACGGCCTTGAGGTTGTTGTCTTCCGGGGGCGGATTTCGGCCTAATTAGATCTCGGGCCGAGATTCTCGGTGATCTCCACCGCGGGCGGCCGCGCCACGCCACGCCGCGCCCCGGCTTTTAATCAACGGACCTAACGGACAATATTGGCGGTAGCAATTTCCTGCCGCTTATGAGGCCTCACATTTTTTTCATCCCTCGGGGCTGCTCGCTCATTCCGGAAGCACGGCGCTTTCGTGACGCTGTCTCTCTCGCACCCGCGGTGCGCTCGGAACGGGTGCGAGAGAGACAGGCAGAACGGCGGAGCGTTGGTGGTAATCAGACAGCAGCAGGAGCGGAAACACCAGCATCATCATCAGCAGACACCGCACGTGCGCCCGCGCAGCTGCAGCGCACTCTAGACGCTGTTGATGCTCCATAGAGTCCCCAAAAGGCACGCCGGGAAACCCAAGGTGCCGCCCCACCCTCCCTTTGGCCGCAGCAATCCATTGGTGGGGTCACGACGTTCGGTCGAGTCCCTTTAGCGACTCGGAGCTCAACGCGTCTGAGTTTTGGCAGCCTCCACCGGCTTCGGCCCACTGTGGGCACGCGCCCCGCGCAGTCCCGCTCCCGCACTAATAGCGCCTGTGGATCGGTGCATAGGCAGTGCCGCCACGCACGCCGGAGCCGCAGCGCTGCCCGCCTCCACGGCGCTCCGTCGGCCGGCCGCCGAACCCGACCCAACCTTGTTGGCACGTCAAGAGGTGCCGCGCCCTGCTGCGCCCTGCAGACTGATTCCGAGAGTCGTCTTCGCCGCTCTGTCTCTCTCGCACCATACGGAACGCCCCACGGGTGTGAGAGAGACAGAGCGACGAAAACTCTCGGGATCAGTCTGCTGCGTGCCTCCCCCTCGAGATCGAGACCGATACCGGCGAGGAGCGCGGAGGGGTTCGCCCCGCCTCGCCCCGCCTCGCCCCGCCTCGCCTCGCCCCGCCTCGCCCCGCCCCGCCCCGCCTCGCCCCGCCCCGTCTCGCCCCGCCCCGCCCCGCCTCGCCCCGCCCCGCCTCAAGGAAGGTGCGTAATTAGCGCCAAAGGCTGCCGGAGGGCGCAGGGCGGCGCGGGGCGGCGTGGCCCCCGGCGGGGTGACGAGGCGGAAGGCGCGGCCACGGCGACGCGGCCCTCGGTGGGGCCCTCGGCCCTCGGCGGGGCGCAGGGCACACAGGGCGCGACGCAGGGCCGGGCGGAGCTTCCAAGCAACAGGTCAACACCAAACTTGTCCCCCCCCCCTCCCCGCCGCCAGCGACACTGTTTGCTCTCCCTATATTGGACTCGGCTGGCTCGGCCTTCTCGTAAAAGTGCCGCGCGGGTTATTCGTACGTCTGGCCCGGCCATCTTCCAATAACGATGTCAGTCCAAGAGAGGGGGGGGGGGGGGGGGGTGCTGTGACGCGCCAGCCGGGCGGCGGGCTTAGCGCCTCCTCTGCCGAGTCACGGCGCACCCGCCGCGTTACACGCCTGTCGGCCTGTCGGCCTGTCGGGCCCCGCACTGCCGCCGGACCGCCGCTGGGACAAAGGCCCGCCGGGAAAACATGGCAAGCAAAAACAAAACAGAAACGGGCCGATTGATTTTGTTGTCATTGTTGTCGTTGTTTGCGCTCGGCCAAGGACGAGCCATGGCCGCCCTCCGGGGGGTGGTCGGTCGGCCGGTCGGACAGCGGCGGAGAAAATAACAGGAAAAGTAGCGATATACATCGGCAACTTTGGCCCGTCCCGTACATTAAGACACGTACGAATTTCGCCTATGTTTGACCCTGACGGAATTAAACCTGAGTCTGGGGTTATAATAAATGTCGTTTTCGTCATCAGCACCCTCAAAAACATCAGAAACAATGCCAAAAATCGAATAAAAAGAATGTTCAAAAAATACCCCGCAGGGATTTGAACCCGGGTCCGAACTTCTCCGATTCGCTCGAAACTGGCACCATTGGTTTTTTCTCGTCGCACCGATTCCAAAAATACCCCTACATGCCCTGCTAGCTGCATCCGTTGCCGAGATCCTCCTCGACCCCATGTAGACCATGATGCACCTGCAGCAGCGCCCCCGGGGCTCGGATCGGATTTGCTGCCACCGGGCGGTTCTTAGGGTCACCCAAGGAGGCTGCATACCAAAGTTGGTCAAGATCGGACCACGGGAAGTCCTCGGACGAACGAACGAACGAACGAACGGACGAACGGACGCACAGCATGCATCATACTATATGCCCGTCCCTCCGTCATTTTTTTACAAAAAATAAACGGGACGGGCCAAAAAGGGGGCGGGGCTTTTATCGCAGGTGCCACAAGGCGTTACCAGAACGCGGCGACGGGTATGAAAAATTGAGAGGCGCTGCCTCTTCGGGGAACCGCTTCGTGCAGGATTTACACGTTAGTGTGTGTGTGGCGTGTGTGTGTGCGTGTGTTGCGGGACAGGGTCGCCGCAGCCACCGCCGCCATACCTGGTACACCATTCAGCACAAAGCCAGACGCACAAAGCAGCGCTAAAGCCGAGCAAAACGCTTCGCAAATGGTAATGTACCGCGGACAGTGGGGTGGCTTTCCAGCTTTTCAGCGAGTTCCGACGCAACACATGAGTGCTCTCTCTCTTTCTCTCTTTCTCTCTCTCTCTCTCTCTCTCTCTCTCTCTCTCTCTCTCTCTCTCTCTCTCCCTCCCTCTCTCTCCCTTTCTCTCCCTCTCTCTCTCTCACACACGCACTCACACAAGCGTGCACTCATTTATGCAGTCTGAGCCCTCCGCTACTACCGGCGGCGTGGCGGCCCGACCTGATCCAGGTCAGTGGCGGTTGGCGGTTGGTCCTGGTCGGTCCGGCCTGACGGCATGCATGGCATGACGGGCCTCGTGTTCCGGGACCCAGCAGCTGCAGACTGATTCCGAGAGTCGTTTTCGTCGCTCTGTCTCTCTTGCACCCGTACGGGGCGCCCATGAGTGCGAGAGAGACAGGGCGACGAAAACGACGCAGAGTGCGCCGCCGTGGCCGGGCCATGCGGGACGCAGACGGTGTCGCCCTGGTTGGCAGTCCGGCCGGGCCGCTGGGCGACGGTCGGCCCGGCACGGCCTGCACGGTGGCGTGGTGACAGCTGCGACTGCCCCCCGCGCGTCCCCGCCAGACCGGACCACTCTCCGGAGGCATCCCTCCAGAAGGGGCACTCACGTCACTCACGTACGCAGCGCCAGCGCCGCGCGGACCGCCACACTAAACGACAGTCGGCGGTGGAAAACACCATTCGCATCGCCCATGCACGCTAAGACAGTGTGGTGGGGGTTCTTTGTGGTCCGGACCCTTTTGCAGTGTTTTCTTGTCGAAATAGCGCATTCCTTGCAGGTCCGACGAGAAGCATGAGCATGAGACGGTCTGGTGCGCTGCTGCATTCTCCCTTGCGAGAAGGCATGGCTGGACTGCTGCATGTGCGGCTTATGGCTCATGAAGGGCTCGTGATGTGTATACACTGAAAACCCAAACGTGGTCTAGACCGCACCAACTGGTGTGGTCAAATAGACGCCATTTTGACCACACCAGTTGGTGCGGTCTAGACCACGTTTGGTGCGTTTGGTGAGGTCTAGACCACACCAACTAATGTGGTCAAAATGGCACCCATCTGACCACACCAATGGTGCGGTCTGGACCACGTTTGGGTTTTCAGTGTAGACGGCTTGGCCCGTCCAAGTCCTTCCTACACTAGCTCCTACACCTTGTCCTACTCCTAGGCCCCACCCAGAGAACAGAAAAAGGTCATATTGACGTCAAGTGAGCTAAACTTGATAAAATTTAGTCACGCTCTGCATCAGTGACCCCTCATGACAAGAATTTGACTCGGTATTTTGTGTCAAATTCACATCATAAGATATCATATTCAATAAAAGGATATCAATTGACATGCACTTGACGTCAAAAATCGCTAACTTTGACCGTCGGCAATGATGTCATCTTGTCACTAATCATTTGACATCATCGTGACCTTTTTCTGTTCTTTGGGCAACTACACTCGTGTAAATTTTGTCAGAAGGTCAGAATCATGTCTGAAATCCTGATCAAAATTCGCGCACCTCTGAAAGCTGAAATTCTGAAAACTTATGCTGATATTGATGGCCTGACTTCAGCAGCATGTCAGAATATGTTTTCAGCTTTCAGAGGTGCGCGAATTTTGATCAGGTTTTCAGACACGTTTCTGACATTCTGTCAAGGTTTACACGAGTGCTATAGGGCACTTTAATTGTGTTGTTTTTAGAGCGAAGTTGAAAATTAGTGCAAAGTATCGATTTCCGAATTGTGACTACCACTATTGGTGGTTCCGCTTTGACGTTAGTTCGTTGCTCTGCGTCCTGCCTGTCCTGAATGGCCGCCGAAGTGGCTGCTCCTTCGCCGGCTCCGCGGTTTAAGGGGCGTAAGCCGCGTGGAGGGAAGGTGGGAAGGGGTGGGGCGGGTCTGCGGAGGGGCTTTGGAAGCCGACAGCCGCCTGCGTGTCATTCTATAAAGACGGAGCTTTCCCGGGGCATTATTTCCCTTTCCGCGTCTTGTTTTACGACCCGGCGAAGAATAATAGAAGGTGCCGTGCCGTGCCATGCACTCTTAACAAATGTCCGTAGCCGTTCGATTCGTTGCCGGGTTGCTGTCCTGAATGCCGGCGATTGTGGCTGTTCCTTCGCCGGCTCCCGGTTAAGTGTCGTGATGCCGCGTAAAGGTGGAAGGGTGTGCAGGTCTGCGGAGCGGCGTTGAACCACAGGCGGCCTGCCGTGTCACCGCTAAAAGACGGAGTGATCCCGGGGCATTATTCCCAGTAACGCTTGTTTTGACCTACAGTGAAAATGTAATAAAAGGTTTACGGACGGTGATGGGGTGGCGTGGCACAGTGGGCCAGAAGACCGGTGGAGGCGGACGAAACTCTGGGCGCGTCTTGAGCTCCAGAGTCGCTAATCAGGCCTCGAACCGAACGTGTGACCCCACCAATGGATTCCTCGTTTGGAGAGCAATTTATTGGCGGGGTCACAGGTTCGGTTTAGCGACTCTGGAGCTCAAAACGCGTCTAGGGTTTTGTCCACCTCCACCGGTCTTCTGGCCCACTGTGCGTGGCGTGCCAAGGCGTGCTTTGCCGTGCCAGCGAGGACGATGCCTTGTTGATTTAAGGCGCAGGGGGCCGAGGGACGCACCAGACACCCTCTGCCTGCCACTGGAATATTTCTCCATTATCGTACCGCGCGCCCGATCGCCGATCACTGCCATACAGCAGCTAATTCCACCCCACCCCTTCTCCCAGCTCGATAAGAATCACTCGCCGGAGGCTGTGCTACACTGTGCTGGTCGGAGCGCGGCCCGCATGTTTCCGAGGCCATCATTGTTCCGGCTGTTATTGTCACTGATGCAGAGTGGGCCAGAAGACCGGTGGAGGCGGCCACAATTCCTGACGCGTTTTGTGCTCCTGAGTCACGAAAGGGGACTCGATCTGAGCGTGTGACCCCACCAATGGATTCCCCGTTCGGAGAGCGATCAATTGGCGGGGTCACGCGTTCAGTTCGAGCCCCCTTTCGCGACTCAGGAGTTCAAAAAGCGTCAGAAATTTTGGCCGCCTCCACCGGTCTTCTGGCCCACTGTGTGATGCGTCCGATTGTGTCGGTGTCCCGCTTTGAAGCGCGCTCAGCCCTTACAGAAATGGATTTGTGGAAGGTGGTCGATAAGTGGTACTGCGGACCACTTTTTCGCCCCTTTTCATACCCCTTTTGACCAAAACCACCCACTGCGACCCTCTTCGTTCATTTGAACCCCTTCGTGACCCCGTTTTCTCCTCTCAAAGAGACGAGGGGCCCTTTTCAGTACCCCCTTTTTGCTGCTCAAGCTCAGGGGGTCCTCCAACGGACGTGGACCCCTTTTCTTCACGCGAAGGGGGTCCAAAAAGGGGTGCCTTTGACGCGATGCAGAACGGCGCATGTGATGACTCTCCATGCACGCCACCAAGTTGCTATTCAGAGGAGTGACGGTCACGATGTCGCGGCTTCCCAAGTCCTGCAAAGTCCTGGTTTCTATGAGAGGATGGCGTTCTATAATTAGAATCTGGTTCTAGCCTCAGGTCTATCGTAAACTTTTATATTCGCGCGAATTATTGTTTCTGTAACTGGAGAAAGAAACCGCGGACCTGGACCTGGGGAAAGGAAGGGGGGGGGGAGCGATGTCGCAATACTCTTCTTTTTTCGTTTTCGGATACGCGCCCGGCAAGGAAAACAAGCCTGGCGTTGTAAGTCCAGACTTGTAGAAGCATATGGGCGGCGCGCGGATCCTCTGACAGGAGAAGCGCTATGGCTCAGGTGTAAAGTGGAGGTCTCATAACAGAAAGGTCCGAGGATCGAATCCCGACTGCAGCGTCGCTTCGCCTACGCGGAGCATGCCCCGCACACACTTTTGGCACTTTCTTTGGAACCCACCTCAGACCCCCTTTTGGACCCCTCTCTCGCGGTTAAAAGGGTGTCTGCGGCTAGACACCTTTTAGTGGTGCATCTAGGAGGTACCGTGAGAACCCCTTTTTTGACACACTTTATCACCCACTTTTAGCACCCAACAACGACGTGATCCATTTCTGTAAGGGAGCAGACTGATTCCGAGAGTCGTTTTCGTCGCTCTGTCTCTCTCGCACCTACACGGGACGCCCCGTGACAGCGAGAGAGACAGGCCGACGACTCTCGGTATCGGTCCGCCGTTGTTCGGGTCGAGCCTCACCTGCTGAGCTCCGCCGAGACGAGGTTGGAGTGCGGCGCGAACCGCGAGGGCTTCTTGTACATGGAGCAGACGAGGCGCTCCCGGCAGGCCTCCTCGTTGAAGCCCAGCTGCACGAACACGTTGTCCATGCGCTGCAGCAGCGGGCTGTAGAACGCGTCGTAGGCCACCTCCACTGTGGGGCCCACCACGTTTGCCAGGCTCGGCGCGGGCGGCGGCGAGGACGGGCTGGGCGTCGCGGTGTCCACCTGCGGAGAGGAGTTAAGTTCAAATCACGATAAGGCGTGTCACTCACAGATTCAGTGCGAGATAGTCCACGGAGAGGACGACGGGCGGCCAGAGCATCGCCGACGGCCGCCGAAACGCTAGACTTTTGAGCTTCAGATTCGCTAAGCATAGGTCTTGAACCGAACGTGTGGCCCGACCAATGGATTCCTCGTTCGGAGAGCAATCCATTGGTGGGGTCACACGTTCGGTTCGAGTCCCATTTAGCGGCCCTGGAGCTCAAAACACGTCCTGGATTTTGACCGCCTCCACCGGTCTTCTGGCCCACTGACTGCTGCAGGGAGACCAGGGCGGCCGGGCTAGTGGGTGGGCTCGCCGCACGCGACCGCAACTCCACTGAACTCTCAATAGTGTCTGATGAAGACGCATGGCGCTGGCCGCCTCCCCTGCCGTCCTGCGTGGTCCTGCCGTCCACAAGCGCCGCCCAGATCGCAGGCCACTCACTCTGGCCCGCAAAGTTCGGCGGGGCTCGGTTTCCAGGAACCGACGGCGTGCACGGCAGGTGCCCCGCAGGAGCTAATTCGGTCTGACCACCGAAAGTTAGCCAGCCGTGAGTCGCGAGTAATTTCCGTGGCTAGTGTTTTGTGCCTGTGCAGAATAGGTGTCGCATTGCCGCGCATGATAGTTTGGCTTCCCCACCGTTCCCGGGTGGCAGACCGAATATCAATGGCAATCCGACCTAACCCAAGCACCTGCCATCTTCGATATCGACATGCTGAGGAGTCCAAACTTTAGAGGCGACTGCTCCGGTGTGGCGTTACATCGACCTAGAAAGTCGCTGAACCACTTGCGATACTCCACGATACTAAGAGGTTTCAGTTACCAGCCAATATCACTGCTCCCATCCCAACTATGGGGTACCTATACTCTTTACTGAGCCGTACTGTTATCCAAGTTAACAAGATGACAACACAAAATCTGGAATCATTGCAGTTTTTTGCAATGATCATTGCAACATTCTGCGATACTGTAGCTCATCACACCTTTTACCAATGATCATCACAGAAAAGTGCGACGAAATTTGTATTGCGCAGAAAGTGCGGTCTGTATCGCAAGTGGAATAACAGTGTAGTACTTCGCTGAACCATGGGACACTACCCCTGCTGAGGCCGTCACCGGAGTAGTCGCCAGGACGTTCACCAAGGCCGTAGTCACCATCGCCGTCGACGAAGCTGCCAATAGGCCGTCACCGAGGCCATCGCCAAGGACGTCACCCATGTTCGAACCGCATTGCATTTGCACGAGTGGCGCTGCTGTCGCCAGTGTGCCCCCGCCTCGGGCCACGCTCACTCCCCCGTTCTGAATGTCACTTCCCCGTCACTGGCCGTGACAGGATGTATTAAATTAATTTGAATACCGCCGCCCTGCCGCCCCCCGTCCCGGGACGGAGGGCCAAATCTAAACTCGGGTGATGATCGAGAGAGGGTGCCGGCTCCCCGGGCGACCCCGAGCACCCCGACGACCCGCCGGCCCGACAAGCAGAAAACTCGGCTCGGCAAGTTAAATAAAACTTATGTAAATTTGTGTCAGAGCCTGAGGAGCACGGTGGTGGTCTGCGATGAGCGCTTCAGCCCGCTTTGCATGAGCTGGGGAGGGGAGGGGGAAGGGCGTTTACGGCCGCTGTACATAGTGAGTTACACCGGGAAAATGGCCTGTCAGGGTCCACGTTTTGGAATTACGGCGGGGTTCTCGTCGAGTCACTTTTATATCTTCGTGCGGAAACTGCCCGCTATTCGGCCGTGTTAGGTACCGTGTATCCGTGAGTCTAATGGCGGCAATGATAATCCTGTGTGAGGGCGACGCGCAGTGGGCCGGGAGACCGGTGCGGCCAAAACCCTAGACGCGTTTTGAGCTCCAGAGTCGCTAAACGAATCTCGAACCGGACGTGTGATCCCACAAATGGATTCCCCGTTCGGAGAGCAATCCATTGGTAGGGTCACACGTCCGGTTCGAGGCCCATTTATGAAGGGCCTCTGGAGCTCAAAAAGCCTCTAGGCTTTTGGTCACCTCCACCGGTGTTCTGGCCCACTGTGGGGGTGTGGCAGGGACGGATTTCCTGCCTTAAAACTGTTTGCGAAGATGGTTTTCCGGGAGGGCGCGTGAATCGATGGACGCCACGGCCGGGTCGTCACCCCCGCCACGCCACGCCGCGCCACGCCGCCGGTGCGACGCGCCCAAGCGTGTCTTACGCAAATGAAGGGTCTGAAGGCTGTTGCTTGGACGGCGATATGGAGCCGGAATTAAATTCGGCCAAAGGCGCGCTCCGATTTGAGTTGCAAATGGACCGTGGTGGACGGCGTCGGCGTCGGGGGGTTGTTGGCCGACGGGGTCCTGGAGGGGTTCTCGGGGTCCGGCTCACAGGCGTATTGGGGACGCCGGGGTACTCCGGTGGGACCTCCGGGGACCCTCCGGAGGGGGAGGCGGTATCGGGAGGGACGGAGAAGTAAACGTGATCAGTTTAATACCCAGCCAGCCGGGCGGGCGGCGAGGGCGCAGAGCCCCTCGCCGACCCCGTTCCGTTACCGGGGCGCCACGGCGCGCCACGGCGGGGCGTTGAATGAAAACACGGCGCTGTCAGCGGGGAATGAATTCGTCAGGCGGCGACAAATTGGCTCACTCCGTGTCAACAAACTGGCGAGGGCCTCAAGCAAAAGGAGTGCTGTCCTCAAAAAAAAATGACCAATTTCGCCCAAACGAAAACAAAAGTGTAAGTTGGGAAAGAAGAGTGCAGTGCAGGGCAAAAAAAAGTACACCCAAGTTAAAATCTTGACGTTGAGCCATCCCTCGATTTGTTGTAATCTGAACATGAAAATCTGCGTCTGAAAACACTGTCAAATGGATGTCAAGATTCCTCCTCTGGACCACAGGGGGTATACTTTTCTTACCCTGTACTTGTCTTATCCTGTACTTCTTAACCTGTATTTTTCCTTCCCTGTGCTTTTCTTACTCTGTACTTTTCTTACCCTTGTACTTTTCTTACCCTTGTACTTTTCTTACCCTTGTCTTTTCTTACTCTTGTGCTTTTCTTACCTTTGAACTTTTCTTACTCTTGTACTTTTCTCACCTTTGAACCTTACCCTTGAACTTTTCTTACCCTTAAACTGGTCTCGCCCTCGAACTTTTCTTGCCCTCGAACTTTTCTTACCCTTGTACTTTTCTTACCCCGTACCTTTCTTACCCTGTACTTTTCTTATCCCGTTCTTTTCTTACCCAAATAACCCGTAGTCGTCACACGGTTCGCCACTCACCCCTCCTTGTTTCCGCTTGCCGCCGGCGTTGGGCGTGTGCCTGTAGACGCGCTGGTCGTCCCAGGGGTTGGCACCCTGGCCGAGGCCCTGGCCGACGACGCCCGGGTTGACGCCCGGCGCGGCGCCCAGCCCCCAGGCCGCCATCACGTCGTTGCTCTGCTGGTTGGCGGGCAGCACGCCCAGGTTCTCGTTGCGGTTGTGCGCCGGATACTCGTAGCCGCCGCCGCCGCCGCCGGGGCCTCCCGGTCCGCTGGGCCCGGCGAAGTCGGCGAAGGGGTTGGAGTCGGACGAGGGCCCGGACGGCGGCGTGCCGTACACGGGCCCGGACGCGTCCGGCACGTACGACGAGTGGCCCGAGTACGGCGGCGGCGACCCGCTGTACTCGATGCCGCCGCCGTGGACGCCGTGGCCGCCGTGGTGGGGCGGCGCGGCCACCGGCACGGGCTGCGGCACGGGCACGGGGATCACGTGGTGGTGGTGCGCGATCTGCAAAAGGGAGACGGCCAATGAGAAGCAGCCAAACTTTGCAGCGTAGCTGCGGCGGACGGCCCAGCCGGGATGGCTCGGGACGGCTCCACCCTGGAGCTGTCAGCGGGAACAAAGAGATGCCCCTCCGGGGACCCGACTCGGGAGCCGCGCCGTACCGCGCGGCAGTGAGGCACCGTCGCCACTCGCCGCGGGGAGCTAAATTGACAAACCGCCGCCCCCCTCGCCACCACCCTCGTGGGGGTCATCGCGCAGCGCGGCCTGGCGGAAGGCCCGGGAAAGCGCCGATGTCGGCGACAAGGAAATCCGGACAAAAAAGCCGCCAAATTGAAACGGCCGCTCTCGAGTCGGGGAGGCGAAATGGAATTGCAGCGCAACACACAGTGCGCCTGAAGACCGGTGGAGGCGGCCAAAACTCTAGACGCCTTTTGAGCACCAGAGTCGCTAAACAGGACTCGAACCGCACGTGTGACCCCACCAATAGATTCCTCCTTCCGAGAGCAATCCATTGGTGGGGTCATACGTTCGGCTCGAGTCCTGTTTAGCGATTCTGGAGCTCAAAACGCGTCTAGAGTTTTGGCCACCCGCGCCGGTCTTCTGGCCCACGTGCAACAGTTCGTTCAGCCCATTTTACCTTGTGGTGGTGGTGGTGGTACTTGGCGTAGTTGGCGTGGTAGTACGAGCACAGCTTGAACAGGTGGGACAGCGCGGGGAACAGGAACAGCAGCACCTTGAGCAGCAGCTTCTTGGCCGTGCCCACGCCCAGGATGAGGGGCAGTAGGAACATGAGCTTCACCTTGATCATCTTGACGATGAGCAGCAGCGCGAAGAAGCTCGTCATCAGCTTCTTCTTGAACAGTTTCTCTGCGGGCAGAAAGGCAGGGCGTCAGTCGGCTTCGCATTGCTTCGCATTCGAGATCCATCAGTCATCAGAGAGGGGCGGGCGGGGCGGGGAGGCACTCCTCCAGGGGCGCTCCGGACAGCCCTGCAGAGACGCGCTCCAGCCGCATTGCTGCCCTACGGACAACGTAACCACCGCAGGGGGCTCTCCCCTCCCAGCCTCGGAAATTCGGACCTCGGCGGCGGTAGCAAGCACGTTGCAGCAGTCCCGCCGAGGAGCCCCCGACCCCCGTCCGCGTCAACACCTGTTCCGTTGACGAGCGGCGGTACGTGCCAAAGGTGCCGGCGCCTCCGTGTTGACCCCAGCGGGGCCCTGCAGGGGCGGCTATCTGCCATCACGTCACACCGTGTTACCGCTCACGTTACGCTCCATCAAGGTAGAAAGGCCGTGCGTCACAGAACGTCACGCCGCGACCCGAGTAGTGTTCTGCAGGGCGAGGCGGCGCGGACGGGGCTGCTTCGGCCGAGCCAGCCGATGTCTTAGCCGTCGGTCCGGGCGCACGTCGGACCGCCACCCCTTCGGTCGCTCGGATACACGTCGCCGGTGCCGCTGCGGCGAATTTTGCCATCCTAGAACCCTGTCGCGACAGTCGCGCGTCCAGGGGAGGGTGAGGAGGGACGTACCTGACCTCCGTCCGCTCGACACTGTTCCGGACGGCAGCGGTACGTAACCCAAAGCGTTGCACGCGCGTCCTCGTGTGCCCCAACGTGGCCCCGCAGGGCGGACGCCATCACGAACACCGTGTTACCGCCACGTTCGCCCATCAGTGAAAGGCCGTGCGTCACGACGTACGGCGCGACCGAGCGCGACCGCCAGCCGTTCGACGGGGCAACTAAGGAGTCCACAGCGATCGTGGCGGTGTTTGCCTCCGCCTCATTACGGGCCGCGTGCCGCCACGTCCCCCCCCCCCTTCCCCCTCGTCCCGCACCTCCCCGAGCATTCAATAACTCGCCGGGCCGACTCCGGCCGGCTTGAATTTTATGGCGAGCCATGATGCCTGAATTCCGGGTCTGCGCTGCGCGCCGAGGCTCGCCCTCGCCGTCCAGGGGGTGGGGGCGGAGGGAGGGACGACGTTGATGTCTCTCTAGTCCGGCTCGGCCGGCGCGGCCGGCACGGGCTCCACGTTTTATTACCCGAGATGGAGGCGTGAATGACATCCGCCGCGTCCCGCACCGCCCCGGTCAAGGGGGTCGGCCTGCAGGACGGACGACGGAGGGTGCGAATATGGCGGCCATTCTCGCCAGGGTCGCATTTCGGAGCCAACGTGCCCGGCCATGCCCGGGCGCGCCGCAATGCACGTTTACATCATGGAACAATAATGGCACCGCCACCAAGTTTCTTCGAAAATTAAGAAAGCTTTCCATTAAATTCTCTACCGTTGATTTGTGTTTAATTCGAGGATCGTTTTTGTGGGGTGCGTGAAAGTTGGCCGGATTTTTGCCCGGGCTGGGGTTGTCGTGAGTTCACGGTAAAAATGCTTCCTGGGAATCCCAGGAATCTCCTGGAAACTCCTATACCTTACAACATAGGGCTCCTGGAAATACCAGGTTTCGTTTTTACCGTGTTGTCACATTCGAGTCGAAGTAGCATTTCTGAGAGTTGAGGTAAAGCCGAAACTGAGCCGCGACTGACATCTCCCACACCCAACCACCTGTGCAATGCCCCATTCACTCGCAGTGCACTGCATGCAGGCTGGCTGCACTGTAACATGCGCTGCGTCGCTGTGCGGTTAGTTCCAGCGGTTCCAGGATGGAACTAGGGAGGGGGGGGGCTGCGGTCGCCGGTCGCAGGATGCGTCGAGGAGGTGAGAGAGGAGTCCCATTGTGACAAAGACGGATAGCAGGGGGGGGGGGGGTGTAGTCGTGCTCACAACAAGCGCCCCGTCCTGACGGCCCTGATGGTCCTGATGGCGCGGCCCTTGAGAAGCGGGCGAGGCGTCGCTTCGCACGGCAAGGCCGCGCTGGCCTGCCGCACTTGTGCGCGCCTTGCCGCGGTCCCGCCTTTTTTCCCGGAGGGAGTTCGCGTCTCCTTGATGAACACACTGACGGCGTTGTCGCGCTGCTCTCAGTGTGAGCACTCTCCCCGACCAGCGCGAGACACTCGTCCTCGCGAGCTGTCCCTCCTTTTAGCGAGCCCGTGTGTCTTGCCTGTCTCTCAGCTCGACCGCGCTTTGGCCGCGAATGCAGCGGACGGCGAGGCGACGGCAGCAGCCCGCGCAACAGGGGCGCCAAAAAAATGTTGTCACGCACTGCGCGGCGGGTGTTTGAACCGCCGACTCGCGTCGCGGTGGCCTCACGGATCGGCGGCGACCGGCACTGGAATGCAGGAAAAGCACCGCGACGACGGCGGCTCGACGGTGACCCCGCTACCTTGTGCTGGATCCACACAACGCACCTGCAGCTGCTCGAAGAGGAACTGGTCTGGAGCCCACCACGCCCCGCGCCGCCACACCCTACCCCACCCCGCCACGCCCCGCCACGCCGTGCCCTGCTAACGCCCGGGGGCCTGACGTGGCCGCAGATCCAGGCGGACGGCATGGCCGGCGGCGCCACGGCGGGCTGCTGCGACAGTCCGCCGAGGTCCGACCCACATCCCCGTTCCAACCATACGGCCTCGGCCTCGGCCAGGCCGACTCATCGCGTTCGACTGTGATGAACACACACACCACGACGTCGAGGAGGAGGAGAACGATGACGAGGAGGAGGAGGACGACGGCGACGAGGACGATGACGAGGACGAGGACGACGACGAGGACGACGATGACGAGGAGGACGACGATGACGAGGAGGAAGACGACGACGATGACCACGAGGAGGAGTGCGACGACAACGGCGATGACCAGGAGGAGGAGGAGGAGGACGACGACAATGACGTGGAGGAGGAGGACGACAATGACGTGGAGGACGGCGACGATAAGGAAGAGGTGGAGGAGGACGACGACGACGATGTCGAGGAGGTGGAGGACGACGATGACAGCGCGCCGCCGTCGCCGAATCCGGGCCGGTTTCCACTCGTTTCCACGACACCGGCCGCCACCGGGACTGGAACCGGGAAAACGCCGCCCGATATTCGCCCGTTAATGTATGCCCTGAAGTCGACTTAATTCGACGTCGCCTGCTCCCCCTCCCTTTCCCCCTCCCCTTTCCCCGTTCCCTTTCCGGCTCCTCGTCCGGTCCAATCCAGCAGCTCCAGGCCAGGAAATAAAGACACCAATTGCGACTGGCCTGGTCTGGCCTGGCCTGCAGGCGGCTCTGCTATGCTGGCCGCCGCTGGCGCGCTCAGTGGGATTAAGTCATTTTTATCGGCAAATAAACCCGAGAGGAGTGCTGCTGGCCTGGCTGCTGGCCTGAGTCGAGGCCGCCGTCGCCGCGCGTTTCCAACTCAGCATCCAACGAGTAGCAGCAGGACGGAAGCCACGTGACCCGTCGCCATCGGCGTGCCCGCCCGCGCTCCGAGGACGCCGAGACCGTCACTGTGCCGACACCAGCTGCAGACTGATTCCGAGAGTCGTTTTCGTCGCTCTGTCTCTCTCGCACTCATGGAGCGTCCCCAGGTGCGGGAGAGACAGAGCGACGAAAACAACTCTCGGTTCAGTGGGCTGCAAGCGGCTGCGGGTAGCCCGCCTCGCCGAACTGGAGCGCGGCCGCGGCGTGGCCGTGGGAACCCGCGCGGCACCAAGCGCGGCACCCTTTAGTAGTGTCACCCGACGGACGACGGCGCGCTTCCCGCAGAGCACTTTTACCGCCGCGACACCAACAACAATTAGCTCGGCTCTCTCGCCGGCCAGGCTGGCTTGGGCCGCCCGGAGGGTAGGCCACCCTGTGGATGGGCCACCTCGAGGGGCAGCCTCTCAAGTTCAAGTCCAGCTGGAGGGCAGCCTCTCAAGTTCAAGTCCACCTTGAGGCCAGCCTCTCAAGTTCAAGTCCACCTGGGGGGCAGCCTCTCAAGTTCAAGTCCACCTTGAGGCCAGCCTCTCAAGTTCAAGTCCACCTGGAGGACAGCCTCAAGTTCAAGTTCAAGTCCACCTGGAGGGCAGCCTCAAGTTCAAGTTCAAGTCCACCTGGAGGGCAGCCTCTCAAGTTGAAGTTTAAAGTGGAGCCCTTAATGGTAATGGAGAGGAAGTCCACCTGGGGGGCAGCCTCTCAAGTTCAAGTCCACCTTGAGGGTGAGGGCAGCCTCTCAGGTTCAAGTTCAAGTCCACCTGGAGGGCAGCCTCCTCAAGTTCATGTTCAAGTCCACCTGGAGGGCAGCCTCTCAAGTTGAAGTTTAAGGTCGCCTCGAGCCCTGAATGGTAATGGTAATGGATAGTAGGCAGCCCGTGTGGACGCGACGCACGGCGGTGCTGCGGTGGCCTACCCGGCGGGCTGCCGCCGACGAGGACGGCGAGGAAAGCGAGAGTCCGGAGGCTCGTCCGCGGCCAAGGCTGGACAAGGTTGAGCTAACGGGCGGATGGGTCGTGCGGCGCTGTGCGGCGCGGCGAGCCGGCCGGCTCGGCGGCTCGGCTGGCTTCGGTTTCGGCCCGTTTCATGCCGTTTGCGCGGCGCGCCTGGCGGTGGCGGCACGGCTTGCCGCGTCTCGCAGTCCTTCGGATCAACTTTACTTTCTCCGGTCCTGGCGGCGCGCTGTGGTGGGCTGCGGCGGGCCGTGGGCCGCGGGTTCGGCCGGGTCGGGCATGGCCGACAACGCGCGCGCGCTTCATGCAGTGGCGCGGCCACCATGACTCGGCCGGTGGGGCGGGGCGGGCCGGCGGGCCAGCCGCGCTGGACTCGTCGTCCCGTCCGGCAGATTTGGAAGCCGTAGAACCAGATTCCCCTGGCAAGCAGAGCAGGCGGGGCAGGCGGAACAAGGTCGCGTCGCCCGTCAGGGAGTCAGGGCCCCGACGGGCAGGCCGGGCCGCAGGCCGGGCAGGTCCCGCAGGCCGCTCCGTCTCTCTCGCACCCCTACGGTACGCCCCGTCGCCCCG